TTATTGATAGTTAGAAGATCTCATGTTATGTAATATAGATACATATATATGTCATATGTATATACATGAATATAATCAATAATCATTTGTGATTTTGTCTATTTTAAGGAATTTCATCAACACCAGCAATAAAAAATTCATGAAAATATTTCTGAAAATAACAACCATTAAACAGTTCCATTTTGTGTGTGTGTGTGTGTAGGTCTGTGTGTGTATGCGTGCTTGTGTGTTTGTGTGCTTGTGTGCACTTTGAAGTGTCAATTTGATACATAATGATATATCATCAAACTAGTAACAATGATTTTTTTTCGGCATAAATTCATAATGTGAAGAAAACATTAAAATTATACAGAATGTTTAGGAGTCAATAATAATAATAACAATGTAGATTACATAATTGTTCATGAGAAATATAAAGTAAGATTTCATAATGTGATTACAAGGGTTGGTAATGTAACTAAAAGTAAGATGAACATTTGCCAGTCGCTATGTTCTATTATAGGACCTCTCAACAGAGTACAGGCCTGAACCCGATGGTGACCAAAGTTTAGACTGTCGAGTTACGAATTGAGCGTTTGCATAGCGACGAAAGTCGTAGTCACGACAGAATCAAATTCCATGTGTCATGAGTTATCATCAAACTTCAAAAACTCAGTTTACTAGTAAGCAAATGGATTATAGTTTTAGTTGAAGAGTTTTCAGAGAATTGGTTTAACTGTCATGTGTCATTTATCACAGAGAGTATTAGACGATAGATTTATGGTATATCGTAAACCTACTGAAGTTTAAAATAGGAACGATTATTGAGTTTCATTTAAGTGATTCAGCACTTTTCATAAGGTCTGAAAGTTCTGGGTTTGAAACTTGACTAGATCTTGAATGTGCATTGGGTAGAAATCTAATACTAAGATCAAATAGTTCATCATTGCTTACTAATTTTACATTAATCCAATTAAGTTTAATCTGTTACAAATATCACTTCCAACTTAAACTGATTATTACAATATCTGACATTCAAGACTACGTTCGTTCTACTAAAGTAAGAAGCGGATGAATGATAAAAGATTCAATACAAGACTACCAAAATCGTGATATGAAATGAGTAAAGACTGAATATTCAAGTGCGAATAATAAGAATTGCCTTATTTATTAATTCATTTGTTTGATGACATACTCCTTTAGGACGCTAAAGCTAATCTTCCTGTTCGTAATCCCTATAGTTCCCACTATATGTAGAAGATGTGTTTAAAGATTATTGAGTGAATAAGACGGAAGAAAAATTCTGTAGGTTTATCCGTACTTTCATGCGGACATCCACTCTTTATGTTCTCCCGAATTCTAATCTTCTGAATTTTTCATGTTCCTTTTTTTTCTCTTTCTAAATTTATTTCACTGAATTATACTCCTTGAATAACATCTTCAAACCCTAATGTTTCCGATTACTGCTTATACTCTTACTACCTCTACCACTATGGGATTTGAATTTACAATTGTATCTGTGTGCTAATGTGGTATGGCAACTCGAACTAATGTGTATACATACGAAATTCTACGTTGTTGCTGACTGACTGACCGTACTTCCATAATGAATGTAGTTGAAAATGAAGTTTCATCATATGTGTGGTTATAAAATTAAAATATTAGTTTTATCGCCTTTTTAGTTGATTGTCTGCAGAGGGCTGTAATCTATTATCTTTAACCATGTTCATTTATTTATATCTAAAGTTTATGCTAGATAAATTAGTCCTAGATGGACTGAAACATATCTTCAGCTGAGGTACGAAATATTTGGTAGATAAATTTTAACTACTAATATCATTAAATAGTAGTGTTATTGTTTTATAATGTTTTTAGACGTAATTTCAGATTTAGATTTGTGTAGTAAGGACAGAAGGCCTACGGCCTATATTATTCCTTTTCTAGTATGCTTCTGTGAGTGTCCAGTCTTCTCTTGAAAGAGTCAATTGAAGGTGCGGACATCACTGCTTCAGGCATCAGGTTCCAAGTATTGATGACTCGGTGTGAAAACCTGTATGCCACAGGTATTTTGTTCGTTCTTGGCTTTTCTAATCACCTGCTATGTCCTCTGAGATGTCTAGTGGGAAGAAAGAGAGAGAATAAGTTAGATCCGAAATCATTTCTCAGTATTTTGTACATCAAAATTAGATCTCCCCTCAACCTGCGATAGGATAGAGTAAAGAGGTCCAGTTTTTCAAGCCGCTCATTGTATGATAAACCCCGGAGTTCCGGAATTGCACGGGTAGCTGCCCTTTGTACTTTTTCTAGTATGTCCGAGTCGCCTTCAAAACAGGGGCTTGCAGCCTGAACGTGGTTCTAAAGCTTATTTCTCACCAATGATGTGTATACTGTGGTGAATATGGTAGTATCTAACTTGGTGAATGTCTTTTTTTTAAACCCAGAGGGTTCGAAACCCCTTAGCTGCGACCTCCCGGCAATGGGCCGTCGTCTTAAGATCATTACTCACTGTCACCCCTAGATCCTTATGAGACCGGAATACTGGTAATGACACACCCCCTATGTTGTACGTATTAACCTTTGTACCCCGAAAGTTCATGTAGACACACTTTTCCGAGTTGATAGGGATCAGCCAATCTTTAGACCACTTTATCATATTATTTAAGTCTGCCTGAAGAGTAAATGCATCTTTGTCTCCAGTTATTACTCGCCAAATTTTCATATCGTCAGAGTATAATAACATTGGAGACTGTACTATGCTTGGAAGATCATTAACGTATATTATAAAAATTAAAGGACCTAGGACGGAACCTTAGGGTACTCCACTAAGTACTGATCTCCAGATGGAGCAGTTGAAATTGATTCTTACTTTTTGTCTACGACCTACTAGGAAATCTTTAATCAATTTAAAAAGAGGTCCGGCAATACCAAGGTTTTCCAACTTCAATAGCAGTCTATTAGTTGGCACATTGTCAAAAGCCTTACTGAAATCTATGTAGACAACATACACTTAGTGTCTGTTGTCTAGTGCCTTTATCCAGAACTCCCTTGCTATAAGGAGGTTCGTTGTACAAGATAGACTTTTTCTAAAACCATTTTGTTCCATGTTTAGCAAGTTATTGGTTTCCATAAATGCCATTATGGTCCGTTTGACTATTCTTTCCATTACTTTAACCACAACAGTGGTGAGGCTTACAGGTCTTTAATTCGATGGAACTTGTCGTGGACCTGTTTTGTGTATGGGACTGACGATCGTATCCTTCTAGTGCATAAGTAACACACCTTGGTCAAGTGACATATTGAATATCATAGTCAGTGGGGCCGCGATATATTGTGCAATATGTCTCAAGATTTTGGGGTGTAGTTTATCTGGTCCTGTTGACTTTTCCATGTCTAAGGTGCTAAGAGCCTTAAGTACATAGTCTTGATCAAAGTTCACGGTGAGCAGGTGGTTTGTTGACTGTTTATTTTGGTTTGGTTCTTTGTCTAGAGGAGGTTCCTGTGTGAAAACTGCCCCAAAATAGTCAGCTATAGCCTCTGTTTTTTACTGATCTTCGTTTATCATTTCAGACTCACTTCCTACTTTAATTAGGTTGGGAATCCAATGATGCATCCTTGTTCTGTAGTTTATGTACGAGAATATTCTCTTGAGCTGCTGGAGTGCAGATTGTGCCAGCTGCATTTCATATTTTCTTTGAGCTTCCCGGGTTTTTGTTATACGTTCGTTTCTTATCGATCTGTAGCGTTCCATCGTACCTGCTGTGCCAAGGCGGATGGCAACATCCCAGCATTTCTTCTTTTGTCTAAGTAAACGTCGAATATCCCGCCCTATCCAGGGATGTCCGTGCTTCTTTTTCTTTGGGACAGTTCAGGGTATGTATGGTTGAGTTACCCGATTGTATAACTGCCTGAAATGAGTCCATGCCTCTTGTACTGATGCCTTTGAGTCAATTTCCCAGTTCTCAGCCGATGCTGCGGAGTTAATTGCCTGCATATCTACCTTCCATATGTTAGGACGGGCCGGCGCAACTGTTTGACATGCAATATCAGCCATGAATTTGAATAAGATGACTGCATGATCACTTCTCCCAAGTGGTAGGAGAAAAGCCATTTGACCAACGTCATCACCGTGTGTGAAGACTAAATCTAAAAGAGAAGAAGAGTTTCTTAAGTCGTATCTTGTGGGATCTCTAATGTGTTGGAATGAAGCTAATCCAATCGAGGTTTCTAACAGTTTGCAGTCGAACGACGATATGGATGACCCTACTTCTAAGTTAACTCAGTTTATTTATGGTGCATTTAAGTCACCTATTACAAGGCTTTTACCCTTGTTACACCAGGACTTAGGTTTACTTAGAAGAAAATCATCTGCTACACATTCTTGACTGCGATATTCTACAACTACTTCAATATCTTGCCTTTGGCATTTCAACTTACATCTCACCAGTTCACATGTCCCTGAATCATGTGCTACCGTCTCAGATAATCTTATGGTTAGGGTACTTTTCGTGTACAGAATAACCCCGCCTCCCCTTCGGTTTGATCTATCAGCCCTACTGGTTATGAAACCAGTCATTTGGATTTCACTATCTAATACTTCTGAAGTTAACCAAGTTTCCGAGACAGCAATAACATCCGGTTTTTCTTTATCCACCACTGACTTGAGCTCTGCCATTTTATTTAGTAGGCTGTGAGTATTTGTGTACCATACCTTTAAGTCTGTGGATTTTTTTCATAACGTGCAAATAATCTTGATGATCTCAAAAATAGAGAGTACTGGACAAAAAAATTCGTTCTAGCATGCAACTTATCACCAGTTTCCAACAATTTACTTCCTTTTCATGATTATAGTCGTCATCTATTTCGACAATCTTGAAGTCGGTGTTTTTATAACAGAGATGGATTGTCGACTAACAACTGAGGGTGGATTGCCAAGTAGTTTGTAACAATAAATATTTTCATAAAATGCTCAATACTTTTCTCATAGTAAGTACTATACTATGTACTCATTTTCATTGCATTAGTCTCTCAGGTTCCGCCTCCAATTCTGATCAGAATCTTCCGGGATCATCATCAGTTATCAGTTCTCACAAGGCGATTGTATCTCTCGGAGAACAAATTAGGTTGCCATCAGAACTATACAGTGTATTTCAAGTGAAACCTACAAAGTTCGCCTTGACATCTGGTAAAACGAATCTCGAGACTACTGACGATGTTAGCCATCTAGTCCAAATATGTAATGTTGACCCAAGTTTGATTGGAAGTAACTGTAATTACTACTTTCAAGTAAGTTAATGGTTTATTTGTGTAACGTTACTTTAATTGATGTTACTACAATCATTACCATATGGATGCATGATATTCGTGCATGCTTATAGACTAGTACAATATGAGGAACAAACAACTGAGACTGAGTCTATAAATTAGAAGGATACTTACTTACTTATGCCTGTTACTCCTCGTGATGGAGCATAGGCCGCTCACCAGCATTCTCCATCCAACACTGTCCTCGACAATTCTTTCCAGCTCCTTTCAGTTGTTATTCATCCTTTCCATATCTAATGTGTTCTTTGGCCTTCCTCATTTCCGTTTCCCTTCAGGATTCCAAGTTAGGGCTTGCCTCGTAATGCAGTTCGGTGACTTCCGTAATGTATGTCCCATCCATTTCCATCGTCTTTTCATAATTTCCTCTTCAGCTGGAAGCTGGTTTGTTCTTTCCCACAGTAGGCTGTTGCTGATGATATCCGGCTAATGGATTTGAGTATCTTGGGTAGACAGTTATTTATAAATACCTGTACATTCTTGATGGTGGTTGTTGTAGTTCTCCAAGTTTCAGCTCCATACAGCAGAACTGACTGTCTTGACGTTCGTATTAAAGATTCTCACTTTGATATTGGTTGAAAGTTGTTTTGAGTTTCATATGTTCTTCAATTGTAGAAATGCGACGCTTGCTTTGCCAATCATCACCTTCACGTCTGCATCTGAACCTCCTTGTTCATCGATGCTGCTGCTAACCAGGTATGTGAAGGACTCTACATCTTCCAGAGTTTCGCCATCAAGAGTGATTGGATTGCTGTTCTCCGCTTTGAATTTGAGGACCTTGGTTTTCCCTTTGTGTATGCTGAGGGCCTACTGATGCAGAGACTGCTGCTTCACTGACTGTCTTTGTGTGCATCTGTTCGTGTGTATGCGATAGGAGGTCTAGGTCATCTGCGGAGTCCAAATCGTCTAATTGATTTTGAGCTGTCCATTGTATTCCGTGTTTTCCTTCAGATGTCGATGTCCTCATAATCCAGTCGACCACCAGGAGGAAAAGGAAGGGAGAGAGTAGACAGCCTTGTCTGATTCCGGTCCTTACTTGGAATGAAGGATGGATATACTCTTTATCAGTTATTTGCGTACATCGGTGTACGATTAGGGTGAAATTGTAGTTGACTGGTTTGGGTATTTAGATCAACCAGTCAATAGGCATTTTGGGCCACCAATTTTCCAATGAAAGTATAGTCATTTGTCAGTTCACTACATAAATATCTAGTTTAGTTTTGTTATGTAACATGTCTTTAGTATGAATACCCTACAAAATTGTATCTTGTCAACATCCAAGATAGATTTATATTAGTTAAAAGGATTTATCTTACTTTTATGAAGACTACACTAAAGGAAGATCGTCATTTATTTCTACTCCTAACGATGTTTGATAGTGACTATAAACATTTAATTGTTCGATCTGTAGGACCCCGATCAGTGAGCCGTAGTGGAACGATAGATTTCAGTTGTATATAGCTGTTCCATGTCATAAACTGCTCCACTCTCCTTTCTTTCTACCAGTTTTCAGCGTCGCTATATAATGCAGGATGTGTAAGTCGCTGGTATGACATGTCCAAGTCACCGAAGTCGGTATTTCAAGATGGTGACAATAATTGGGTTGTTATCACAGTTCGCAAATAAATTGTTGAAAGTTGATATTACTGATATGATGTTGCCATCAGATGTGAGAAACCGTTCGAAGAAAAATCGCATAACATCTTTAACCAAGACAAGCCAGGTTTTATAAGTATAGAAGAAAACTGATTTCACCGACGCATTGTTAATCTAACTTTTGACAGTCAAATGAACATCGTAACAGTGTCAAAGATGATCAATTTCGGTATAAACCGCTCTGATGTACTCTAGACACAGATTATTCTCATCTGACACCCTATCAAACAGCAATCACACAGCTATCCAGATACACTAACTTCTTGACTATTTCTGATAATTCACTTAAGAAATAACTGTCGTTACTTGCTCCTACAAGTACATGCTATACTTACAGACATTGATTCCCAACTGATTAAGTGTGATTTCCATAGCTCACTGCTTAATAAAACAATATTATTCGCACATTCGAAATCGAAAATTTTTTCTTTAAGTAACAGGTTCACATAGCCAGTACATACTCCCATCAGAGCTGTCTCCAGACGTCATCGGTGGAAAAGTTGAAGAAGAATGATGAAATTGGACAACCCTGCCTTAACTGCACGTTCTGAATGGAACAATGGACAGAGGCGGTTGTGGTGGAAGTAGACAAACACTTAACAAAAGATGAAAATACGACCACCGCATCCCCATATTAGACGATAGTCAATGGATTAGAAACAATGAGGAAAAGATCCCTACTTTGATAATTTTAAGGAACCTTAAACCTAGCTCGGTTTGGGACGGAACATACAATCGGTTTGTTAGTATCAATCCAATTAGGCAGATAGGACTCCACCATCGATGGCACCAATTATTTTGAGAACATCTTTGGAGATATCGAGCTCACATACATGATCTTGATTGACGATCAGCATATTCATCACTTTAGTGTACTGAAGACCTGTGTATGAAAGTAAATTGTTCATAAGGCGAATAGGTCTTCTTTAGAAATCGCTTGACAGATATGTTTTTCATTATCATTATATAATTTATTGTACCTATATACATGTCTAAAATCTCATTTTTAAACTACTTCACAGTTGTTTGAATTCGTATTATGTAATGAAAAGACGAAGATAATCAGAACCAACATGATATATTTGCGCAATATATTATGAACAATCTGATCACGCACAGTTGTTAAGATTACTTATATATGAGAAATAAGAGGTCGAATGGACAAGTGGAAAATAAGAGGAAACAAGGATAATAAGGAGAACAATGTGAAACATGTCACGTTGGGAAATAAATCAATATTATCTGGGTAAGTGTATTGTGAGAATGAACTTTTTGAATATATGAAGGGGACGTTCTTAACAAGTATTTGTGGGATCAGATTGTTCGAAATGTATTAAGCTAATATATCATATAGTTCTGATAATTTTCGTCTCCTTACTAAATTATCCAAATTTACCATAGGGACTAATTGTTTTAAAGTTAGTTGGTCGTTTTTCTACTTTCTAAAGGTTATGTCTCCATCCCGAAGAATGATCAAGGATCCAACCGTGTGCTTTGATAGCCCACAGAGGAAAACTGACAATGTCCAATGTTCCTGTGTAGAGAACAACGATGATTTCTCAGCTATGAACACACCAAACCTCCTTCGAACTGTCAGTCATTCTCAGGGTAGCATGGGAGAAACTGTCAATATTCCCTTCGTGATTCACAATTATTCGTGTCAGTCAGCTTTGGAAAGAGATCGATGGGTACAATAGTGAGTATATATATTAATTGAAGCTTAAACAGACCAATTTCGATTCATTTTGGTTATCACATTTTTCTTCTTGATTCAAAGTTAAAGACAACAAATCCACAAATTCCATATTGATAATAATCATTTGCTCACTAGTGACTAGCTTTGAGAAGCAATTCTCGGAGTTCTAATCGGGAACCGTGACAATTGGGGCTAATCTGCGTCGGGTGTGAGGCAGTTACGCACTGAAGATAGTCGGCGCAATATCGTGGCATGGTTGAAGTTAGACAATAACAACGTTGGACAGATACCGGCTCAGTGGTCTAGAATTTAAGCGTTCGCACGTGAGATTGAGTACCCAGGGCCCGAGTCCCACGGGCGAGATCGTGGATGAGAGTTGCTGTGTCCTACATTAAGGCGAGACGTCTGTTCAGTGCTCTCAGGTTTTCAGTGGTGATCTAGGTCAGACCAACTGGTGAATTCAACGAAACATGAGGACATTTTCGATGAAGTTTGTACGGTGAGACTATAATTTGTGGACGAACCAATCATGTGCAAGATAAAAGGTCTCAAATTTTGGTGCGAAATTCACTCATCCATTTCGTTAAATAAAAGTTTGGTGTTATAGCTGATATCAGTTCGTGATGAGAACCCTAAATCTAATTGTTAACCTTAACCATCAATTGTCACTCATAATTCTAATTCCATATACACGTTTATAACCCTTATTCAGTTCTGGTTAGTAGTTAGACACATTCAAGGTCAGTTTAGTGTCACTCAAAGGTCGTCCATAAGTTAGTCTCACCAAATCATCATCCACTTGAGCTACAAATCTTCTCCATACAAAAATATTGAAATTGAGGCGGGAATTGGATGGTAAATGGCTAATTCCTGTTGAAGCGGTAGTTCGAGTAATAGTAACCAAGATTTGAATGTGTTTTTTTGGCAAATCAAGTTTCTCTTTGTTATGGTATGAGGCCATTGTCGAAATCGTCACAAGTAGATGTGATTGTATTTGACTAATTGGTTAAAATAACCTTGACGCGGACCTTTCTGAGATGGCAAACCTTTCCTATAACCAATAATCAACATAGAATAAAACTTACGCCCACGCAAAATGACACATGTTGACCGTATAACAAAAAGAGATAGACGACAGACAAAGAGCAAGCACTCTATTCATTTTGATAGAGAGACACAGGTAGAGTTGCAGTTGTTGTTGTTGTATAAACATTACAGACATATAAAATCATTTCAACCAATCATATATGAGAATGAATTCCATCAGAAATTGATCGATAAATGTTATGGCTCCATATTTCAAACTCGACTCTTCCATATATATAAAGAGATTGACAACTATGTGCCTCATTCGAAGTGTGTATATGTGTGTATGTGTGCTTATTTGTGTGAGTCATAACATGTGTGAAATCGATTACATCCGTTAAGTAGTAGCGTTTAAATTTATTTAACGGTAGTGGATTTAGTCAATGTGATTTGATTATGTTTATATTAATGGAATGACAATCTATATGGATTAAATATATTACCACAATTCATATTATGAATTTCATTGTATGGAATAGTTGGTCTCTATACTTCTTTTTTTGATAAACCAACTTATCCATACTATGATGGATCAATGTTTTCGTAGACTTAGAAGCCTTTCCACTCCTAAATTGAAAGATGAACGATTATATCATCATGATGATGATGATGATATTCAATATTCAATGCCACCATCAAAAAATCGAAGTGAACTAGCTTTAATGGATTTACATCAATCATCTGATTTAATTATGATTTCTAAGCCACATGTTCATTCATTGTTAAAACTTGAACGAAACAATGATCATAAAAAGGATTATGGGAAATACTTAAATTTAACAACAATACAAAAACCAATTCTAGATTATCGTTTTACACCACCATTAAATAGATCATTGATCTCGTGAGTTTCATTTAATTTCTACAAACTATTTATAGTGTATTCATTCACTGTTAGTGACAAAAATTGCTGAAATGGTGTTGTACTTATTAATTTATAACAGTTTTTTTTAATATCAGAAGGATTTTTTTGGGATATTATAGGAATTTCAGTAGTTGAGATTATGAATCAATTGAAGCTAGATCACCATGGGAAACCTGGACGCACTGAACGGCCGTTTCGTTTTATTGTGGGACTTCTCAGCATTGTGCATCCATGTTTTCGCCTCACGAGATTTGAACCGAGGACCTATCAGTCTCTCATGCGAGCGCTCAACCTCTAGTTTTTTCCTTCACCTTTTTATTTATCTAGTCACGAGTAATTACTATCGCCGCTTGCTAAGTTGTCTTTTATTTGTTTGTGAAGGGAATCCATGTACACACTGTTCACAGTTCGATATGATATCAGTCTTCAGTAATAAGGATAGTAGGTTGATGAACCTGTGTTAATCCTGACACATTGCTTTCCAGTGAAGGTCCAGCTTTTCCTTGAAAGTATTCAATGATGGGGCTGATACCACTTGTTCGGGTAAGGCGTTCCATTCATTGACTACTCGATGAGAAAAACGGGATCCCATTTTAAGTTTATTAGATAGTGGTTTATGAACCTTCTTGCTATGACCTCGGAGATTAATAGTGCTGGAGGGAGCAAAAAGATAAGATGAAACTTGTTAAAGGGAAATTAAGCAGTAGGTAAATAAATGGGGAGATAATTTTAAACATATGATAACATTTCTCGGCTGACCAATGAGCAAGCCGTATTCGGTAATCAAATGCAGTATCTTGCACTCTACTTTGAGCTACACCTTTGTGTATATGGGGTCCAGTGGTACTAACAAACTATATGGACTTAACTACGTCTAGAGAAGTTCGTATCTGTAGGTTAATGGGTGGAAATGAATTACTTTACTCAATATATGCTCTGTAGTTGATCCAGATAGTGGTTTGAAGTATTAAATCTAGTTAAATTCCTTCATAAGATTTGGACGAATCAAGAGCCAGAGTTGGCATAATATACGATAAATTCTTAATTCTATAGTATTACTTATACTGGTACATACAATCCAGTTGAAATGTTTGGGATACGTGTCACGTTTGCCCAACGACCGACTGCCTCGACGTGCGATGCGCAATAGTATAGGAGTGGGTTGGAAGAAAGCTAGGGGCGGCCATACGAAAACATGGCACAAATCCATGAAGTCACTGACAAGTGAACTGAGTCATGTTGGTAGGTGTAGACTACCCGGTTGGGGACCGCGAGATGATAGCAACTGATGGTTAGAGACCCTGAATGACATGGCTCAGAATCGTTTGCAATGGCGCAGGTGCGTCCATTCTTTGTTTCCTCCCAAATTCTAATCTTCTGTATCCTTTATATCCCTTTTCCTCTTTCCAAATTTATTTCACTGTATTATACTCCATGAATAACATCTCCAAACCCTAATGTTTTCGATTACTGCTTATATTCTTACTACCTCTACCACTACGGGATTTGAGTCGACAATTGTATCTCTGTGCTAATTGTGGTATGGCAACTGGGACTGTTGTACGTATGTACGAAGTTCTACGTTGTTACTGGCTAACTGACATACAATCCAGCAAGGTTTACTGATACGATATTTAAAAACTATTCATCAGGAAATGGTAAATCTTTTGACGGATAGGATTGTCATTTATTTTAAACTGAGAGTTTTGACTAAAGACAAAATAATGAACGTACTGGCATAACATGGATTCATTTTACTTCGTTGCTTTTCATCTACTTCTTACAACCGTTTTTTAAATATTACTAATCAGTGCTTTTATGTTTAAGTTGTTCCTAAAGTGCATTCATTAATGCAATAATTATCTGTACATTGTTTGACTACTAATTCCAACGTTTTAAACTAACATTGGTTACCATACATAAATGGTTGTTTAAAACAAGGAATAGTATATCTTACGTTTTCTCTACACCTGAAAAAGCTGAAATGTAAAGTTAATTCTGATTGTTTTGTATACAATACTGTCCACTACTGTACGTTATTTTCAAGTTGTCTCCACCTAGAACAATAATGAATAGCCGTCTAACTTTTCCTCTTGGACTTGTTAAAACAGGATTAGTTGTTTAGTCATACAGTGAATGATTTCCCATGTAGACTAACTTATTTATTATTTATTTATTTCAACACAGATAATGGTACAAAGAGGCACCAAATACATATGCGCCACACAAATCTCATTCGATATGTGTGAGGGCTGTGATACTGCCCGGGTGCCCAAACCGAAGCAGGTGGTTTTCTTAGGGGGCCACACCCCGAGCCTTCGACCTGAAGGTCTGATCCACAAGGCAGTGGAGCATCGTAAGGAGATGCAGTCCCATGGAAGCCGGTGACCAACAATTGGTTCATTCGCCATTTGTTCCCGCAGGATACTGGAGCCCATGTGCACCATTGGTTTGGAATCCGGTTAAAGCGCCGGACATTCGCTTTTCGTTCTCTCATTTTCGTAAACAACACCCTCGCCACGAGAAGGCAGTGAGTAGGACTTCCCTGTCAGAGGCTATATACGCGTGGCCGTGTGAGAGTATTTCGAGAGGGAGAGCGGACTCTCCCCACTCTCGGCCGTACCAGGGCATTTGGGGGCTAACTTAACTACCTGTAAACAATATTGTCTAGTTTCAAAATAATTCTCAGTTTTCATTCAGAAGAATTATCACTCTATGTCAGACTAGCTAACCTAATTCCAAATCACACTATGAAATTAAAATGTGGGTTGTATGTACAATGAAATGAGAATGTTTTTTGTGGATATTATAGTAATTTAATGGTTGAATTCATGAGTTAGTTGAAGCTAGACCGCCATGGAAAACCTAGAAGCACTGGATAGCCGTTTCGTTCTAGTACGGGACTTCTCAGCAGTGCGCATCCATGATCCCACCTCGCGAGATTCGAACCCAGGACCTATCAGTCTCGCTTGCGAGCGCTTAACCACTGGACGGTGGCGCAGCTTTGTGGATTGGTTGAAGTTAGACATTAACAGCGTTGGATGCCGGCTCAGTTGTCTAATTATTAAACACTTCCTTGCGAGACTGATAAGCTCTGGGTTCGAACCTTGCACGGCGGGTTCATGGGTGAGCACTGCTGAAGAGTCTCATATTAGGACGATACGGCCGTCCAGTGCTTCTAGGTTTTCCATGGTGGTCTAGCTTTTCATTGACTCATGAATTTAACTACTAAAAATATATATAGCTGTCTACCTCATTTTAAATCTCAGTTCCTTGCTGTGTGTCAGATCAAAAAGCATAAAAACAGATCCTTTTTAAAGTTTACTTCCATGTGATACTAAATATGTTTAATGAAAAGTTTAGAGCAATTTAATTTATCTGATATGTTTCCATATATTTAATTTTTATTCAGTGGTAAACGTCAACACACTTGCAAATTTATGTTTAGCTTCACTTCAAATTAATAAGATGTATTTGGGATGGAGTATGATTTGCAATATAACACTAATGATTATCAATAGAACTTTCAATTCACATTAAAGTGGTTCTCTCACTTTATAGTTGGTTCGTTCATTTACTAAAGTTAAATAGTGACTATCTTAACTTAATAGTTCAGTGGATAGTGCGTTGGTGTTTGCAACGAAAGCTACTGAGTTTGAGTCTTTGTGTGAATATTGACACTGATTCAGTTATTTTCATTTGATGAGTCCCAAATAGTATGTCTTGGATCACAATGATAGCCACTATCAAATTTTAATAAAAAAGGAAAGTGAGTTATCAACTTTTGATATGGAAGTGGATTGTAATTAAGGTTGAGATCAAATCTTGGTTACGCAAATTGTGTAATTCAGTTTGCTAATCTTATTTGAATACTTCCCGTGTTACCATTGAATATTCAGTCCGTACAATGCTATAGTCAAAACAAGTACAGCTTAATGTTTATTGAATTATACGTTTCTGAAAAATAACATTTAATTGATACAGGAAAAACAAGTTAATATTGTCTTTTAGAAAAAAAGTATAAAGCACTCTGAGAAATATCGGGGTATATGACAAGCTTAACTGTCGTGATTAAATGTAGTATTAGTGTTAGACTATTGTTTATCTACTACTACTTACTTACGCCTGTTATTCACAATGCAGCATAGGCTACCAACCAGCATTCTCTAATCCACTCTGTCCTGGACCTTCCTTTCCAGTTCTATCCAATTGTTGTCCATTCTTCTCATGTCTGTCTCCATTCCTCGGCATAATATGTTCTGTGGTCATCCTGTTTGCCTTTGGTCCCAGAGGGGCTCCAGGTGGAATTTTTATTTATTACTAGGCTTGATTGGTTTGGAAAACCTTTTCTGGTTAGAGTTTTTTAGCGAGACAGACGTGAGGAAAATGAACAAAAATTGGATAGAACTGGAAAGGAAAGTCCAGGACAGAGTGGGTTGGAGAATGCTAGTCGACGGCCTATGCTCCACTAGGAGTAACAGGCGTAAGTAAGTAACTAGGCTTGATGTAACTGAGACGCTTTCATTCCAGATTAGAATATTTCATATTTATTGAATACACTTTATATGACTTTACCGTGTGTAATTTTATAAAATAAATATATTATAAGGAGATGAATGGATATGCATTATATATTTTTCAGTTTGAAACGGCTAATCAACCCATCTCAAGATGCTCAACGTCGTAAAGAGAATTGTTTGAATGTATGGATCCAAGAAGCAAAAGGATTAACTATAAAAAATAGGTGAGTAACACTGTGTTAATAGTTCTGATCAAGCTAACACTAAAACGCAATCACTTTGTTTTTGTTATAAGACACTAAGTTTATGAAGTAATATTGTAAAACTCAAACCCAACAACAACGATCTTGTCACGATTTCAAAATCAAGTCGGTTAAAAGTTCGAATTCATGTTATGAACGTTGATTTTGTGAATTGCACAGGATTATTAACTATCCATTGAATTTAATTAATAAGAATTTGAGTGATTATCGATTTACATTCATTCGTGAACAATTATTTATAAGTTAAAATTAATTTCTTTTATACAATTAATGACGCTAGGATTAACTTTTATTGTACTAGCGAACATTTTAAGTGTATTATCTGGAGCGGTTCCATGCAAACCACCCACGGTTTCGACCCGGGTTCGAATCTTGTCTGGCGTACGGCTTTACCCCCAAATGCCCTGATAGAGTCGAGGGTTGGGAGAGTTCGCTCACCCTCTCGAACTGCTCTCACATGGCCACGCGTATTCAGCCACTAACAGGGAAGTCCTACTCACTGCTTTCCTAGAGCTGGGGTGTTTTCACAAAATTGAGAGGTCAAAAAGCGAGTGTCCGGCGCTTTAGTCGGGTTGGTGGATGCGGAGGGTTCACCTAGGGGAGTTGGAAAGTCAGTCAGTCAGCTACAACGTAGAAGTTGGAAAACCCTGATTCCAAACCATTAGTGCTCATGGGCTTCAGTATTCTGAAGGAACAAACGGCGTATGAACTAAGTATTGGTGACCGGCTACCATGTGATTGCATCTCCTGACGTTGCTCCACTGCCTTGTGGCTCAGACCTTCAGGTCGAAGGCCCCGAGCGTGGGTCCCTAAGAAAACTACCTGTTTTGACCTGAGTACCCGGAAAGTATCGTAGCCCACACACAAATCAAATGATGATTTGTGGTGCATATGTTTGGTGCCTCCTTGTACCAATATTTATGTGTTCAAATGAATAAATAAATAAATATTAAAGTGAACTTATCATCATACTCAAAATTGAGATTAATCTATGAGTCTTAAATAGAGAGAGTAGATAGTCGTCTCTATTTCTCTATTCATGTGAAAAAAGTCAGGGAAACTTAAATTTTTAATACAAACAATGAAACGATAAAAATGGCTTCTCAGATGGTGAAGGAAATAGTTTAAAAAAAAAACCTTATTCAACATTTCAATCATTAATAAGAAGAAGTAAATTTCTAACAAGAATGTTTCATCACATGATTAATAGAATAGAACTTTTGAAGTTTCATGAACATTTTAATTTGTTACATTCTTTTCTTCACCATTCAATCCTTTTTTTTCCACTAAGATATTATTGTACAATTTTGGTAAATGGTACAATCTGTGCACGTACAACAATTAAACAAATGACAGATATGTTGTTTTGGGGTGAAGAGTTTGATTTAAGGTGAGTTATATAGTTGTTGTCTTCAATTTTAGAGAAAATTTTACCTTTTAGTAAACTATTTAATGGTTTCTTTTGGAAAAAAACTAGTTTCCCTAGTTTTGAAATTTTTATTTTAAATGTATTCATTAAGCCAGAATGATTAGAGCTATTAGCCCTACCGAGATTTAATGGATTATACTTAATTATTATTGTATGTTACTCCTAATGGAAGAAGTAAGCTTATATTTGTCGGAATAGTTTGATAAGTCTGATTTTGATCTAATGTATTAGTTAGTCAATCATAAAAATTTACGGATTATACGACAAAACAAAATATTTTAAATCTCTGATGATTTTCATTTTTCGTAGCTTTACTAGAACGAGTAACTTACAGGTGCTATCTAAATTTCTGTCAAAAAGAGTTTGTGTTTGAGAATTGTCACATACAGCACTCATTTGATATCGCGCAATGTTAGATGATACAGGAGTAAGTTCAAAGAAATCTAGGTAATAAGTCTTCTAATTGAACGCCAGATTTGGTTTCCTAAGCTCTTCTAGTAACTCTCAGGTTAAATCTACACAGCAACTTGAATACGAGAGAAAAGGCACGAAACATGGGAGAAAACGCTTTACTCCAGAGGTTCGTTTGTGTACAGAAAATCTAGGGTATTTATATTATTTTAGGTGGGCTTGGGTTTCCGGAAGTTTCTCGTACGCTACCAAACATAGTAGCAGTATGGGTAATCATCCAATCAGAAACTCGATATATGACTTTCCACTTTCTAGCTATTTTTGACAAAACTTCTAGTGAATGCTGGTTGGATAAAATGTTTATCAGCGTTTTCAGAGCCTTTTTCGGACTTTTTTTCAAGGAATTTTCTAAATCTCCTCAACACTGGGGCCGTCCAAATTAAAACGTAGTATCAGTCCATCAAATTATTGATGGTTGATTGGAGCCATGTTAGTAGAGGTAGACGACCTGTCCGAAGTCAGTCCAATAGCCGTGATTAGTGGTTGAAGATGTTGGGTGAAATGGCATCGAATCGGACAGGAATGCAAATACACTCGTCAATTGTTCTCCTGTCGATCGTCAATTCCAATATCCCTTCATAGATATCTTTTCACTCTGTCTTTCTAAACCATGTTCTCACTGTTCAACCTGTCTTATTATTATTACTATAACATTCCTACAGTTTCTTCACTTTGTTAAATTTATATCGTCATGCTAACGCAGTACCACGGCTTGGCCCAAAACATATTTGTGTCACCCTCTATATTGATCATAACTAATTTACTGAAGCAGTCAGTTTTGTTTGAGAATTTATCAATTGAATATAATTTGCATTGTATTGTTGTATAATAACGTTGTCAATGAAGCTTGAACAAATTATTACTTTAAAATTCTAAATAGTAAACTGACTAGTCACTATAGATATGTATATTTTCGATCCAGCACGAATCTCACGAAGCCCCCAAATACTCTGGTACGGCCTAGAGTGGGTAGAGTCTTCCCTCCCTCTCCAAATACTCTCTCATGGCCACGCGTATATATCCTCTGCCAGAGAAGTCCTACTCATTGCCTTCTCGTGGCGGGGGTGTTGTTTACGAAAATGAGAGGACGAAAAGCGAATGTCCGGTACTTTAACCGGGTTGGTGGAATTGGGGAGTCCACCTAGGGGGGTTGGAAAACCTTGATTCCAAACCAACGGTGTACATGGGCCCCAGTATCCTGAAGGAACAAAAGGCCGTATGAACCAATCGTTGGTCACCGGCTACCATGGGAGTGCATCCCCTTACGTTGCTCCACTGCCTTGTGGATCAGACCTTCATGTCGAAGGCTCCGGGTGTGGCCTCGTAAGAAAACCACCTGCTTCGGTTTTGGCACCCGGACAGTATCACAGCCCTCACACATATCAAATGAGATTTGTGTGGCGAATATGTATTTGGTGCCTCATTGTACCAATATCTATGTTTTAAAATAAGTCACGAGGCGGAATCGCGGATACGCACTGCTGAGGAGTCCCACAATAGGATGAAACGGCTGTTCAGTGCTTCCGGGTTTTCTATGATTGTCTAGCTTCAATTGACTCATGATCTCAACTATTGAATTTACCATAATATCCACAAAAACCCCTTGATATTAATTATTTTATTGTTTTTCTTCAAGTCATGGATAATGTTTTTAACTGTTTGTAATTCGTATCATGTAATGCAGACTAAGGACACTGCCCTGATAGGTATTTCAAGTACATAAGAAAGGTTCATGATTTATTTAAATGGTAAACAATTTAGTGTTGAAATCAAATGAATCGACTGGAGGTGAAGTAGGAAATGTTCAGATTTTATGATTTCTATATTAACATTCACAGATGTTTGTTAGTACTCTCATCATATATTTAACCTCTTTAATAATTAACTTGTTGAATTCATTATTGATATGATTTAGTTTGTCCCATAGAAACACAACTTCATTATTAAACAGTTATTATTACTGATCGGTTTCTAGTTGATCGAAGAATGATTGGAATAATTATTAAATATATATATTTGTTTATCATAAATATTTTAAAGTAATCGTAGCCAAATATTGGTTACATGTATTCATTTCTTTTTGTATGTAAGCTAATGGTATTAACTGATTGTACTAACTAATCTATATGGAGTGGGATTTCAACCTGCCAATTGTAAATCAATAGTCCGGTTGTTTCGACCACTGAGACAAGAATCGTCCTGATTTTTCTCTCAATTAAAGAATTTTTTTGTAATTGTTTGGTCATACTGAAATGAAAAACTAAGTATTCTGTTTTCTTACTAATTTAATGTTAGATTTGATAATGCCACGATATCGAAGTTGGTTACTGGATTTCATGTCATAGATAAAATTTGTAACCAAAAGGCATGCATTAAATTTGATCCGTTGAATTAATTATGAAGATTGTCGTTATTATAACTTCCGAATAGTCATCTTTATAACTTTGTTGATTTTCATTTGATATTGAAAAATGTTTTTAGCGGTCTTACAAATTGCTCAGATCTAACGATTGAGATATGGAAAGTGTGTGATACCAAAGCTAGTTCTCCATCTCATCGTCATCGGACTGCTTCTCCATATCGATTAACAGCATCGAATATTCGTCAACAGACAAATACAAGTCCTCCAATGCGTAAGGTAATGATGACTTGCACAAAAGCTGCAGATGATGGGTCAGTTTCACCACCTGACTTTACAGCCTTGCGTAATTCTGTCATTCTGGATGATTTATCAACTACGTGTACCAATAATGATGAAGTGTCTTCAAGACAAAAGCGTCGTAAATTCAAGTCATCAAAAATGGTTAATCCAACTCTCATAGGTTAGTTTCTCAGTTATTAGTATTCACTTATTCCTACTGTGGATTATTTTAAATTTCATTTACGAACCGCTCATCCCTTGTGACTTGGTTTAGTATTGTTTAAACGAGGAACTAATGTCTAAACCTCTAACCAGTATAATTATTGCCGAATGTCATTCAGACTGATGATAAAATCTGTTTGTGATTACATATTTAAGCTTAGATATTGCTAAATAATTGTTAAAGCGGTGCTTTAGTTAAAGTATATAAGTTTTAAAACAACACATAATGATAAAACTAGTAGATCATTTAGGATCTAAAATGGAATGTATGCACCAGTGTATGTTTACATCTCCCACATCGGGTCATTGATCCAAACAGTAGTGAGAGAGTAAAACCAATGTTATCAATATAATGGAAAAAAACGAGGATAAATGGAAGCTAATACTAAGGCATATAGAATCACGAGATGTTTGATATTTAACGGAAGGAGGAATAAGCAATGAATGGATCTAGACACTTTCGACTAATTGTGTTAAATTATTGTTTGAAATCTTTATCTGTTGATTTTAGTTATCTAGTAGAATATAAATACTCTTGACCCTTTTCTAATCTACCCTTTATAATTTAGCACTGCATGTTTTGGTAAGTAAAACCATTATTCTAGGTTCATGTATTTACGCCAGTATTATTAATCCTTCAGGGATTTTACTATGCACCAGCAATGTTATGAAGATATCACTGAAGTCGCTTTAGTTGTTAAAAGTCAATGTCTTTTGAGTCTTTATCGACCACCGATCTCATCAGAATTAATGTGGCGTACTTAACAACTCTACACTTCCCTGTCACATATTTCTTATGATCATCGTATGTGATGAAAATCCATGTGCAATTTTTAATTAATTTCAAAATAAACACCGCATATATTAAGTGGAAATGGTCTGTAGAGATTTATGTAGGTTTAAAATGTTAGGAAATATTAGATGGTGAAGATTTGGTCACGGTTCCTTCATGCATTGACTATAGCTGGATGAATTTTGAGTAATGTGTTTATCACGGATAAATGTCTATCAGGGTTAGATTTGGTTGAGATTAAAATAAACAATCGTGTTCTGTTCATAAGACGATTTTTGTCAAGACGACAGTAAAAGGAGGCAGAATATTTTTTTAACATCAAGAAATGTTGCGTTGATATGGTTTCATAAATAGTATAAATATGGTTTTTTTATATTACCACTTTAGCAACAGTCAATATTTCTTTATCGGATATTTCTAATTGTGGTGAAGTAGAAAGTTGGTATACTCCAAATTTGAATGACTCAATTCTATCATCTGGTCAATTGAAACAATTAGATAATAAAAACTCCTGTGAATCCAATGTAAATAAAACCAAATCCAAAGGACGACGTTCCAATCGTCATGATATCAATTTGAATTTAATACAGATTCGTGTAAAAATTCGTTATCGTGCCCTAACTGTTTTACCGTTAACAAGTTATGCTCGTTTAGAAAATAATCTATGCCAATTTCAATTACCCAAAACGATATCACTTTCAAATGGCACGGATAAATTAAGTAGTTTCAAATTTGATCCCAATCCCTCATTAACTACATCTGATAAACCTGATCTAATCCAATTATTGTCCAGCTTAGATCCATGGTTAAATGTTAAGGCTAAAGCTGAATTAGCCGGTGCTATGGTTGTTTTACAACAGGCTCGTGGACAAGTAACTGCATTCTTGGCCAGTCTTATTTTATGTGAAGTTAAAAAACAAAGTAGGTTCATCTCTGTTTTTTTTTGTTTTTGTTATAATGTCTTGGTTTTTGTAATTTAGTTCATTAAGTAGATTTTTTTGTTAACCCTGAAGTCTATTGCTCTAAAAGTCCTACCAAATTACATTTAATTGATTGACTTAACTTCTTTACTTATTGTATTCTTTTACTAAGAATTTCCACTTGTTACCATTTATTAATAGACGTAATATTTACAACCTACATAAAAATTAAAGCCCTTTAAGAATTTTATTCATTACTGTTTGTCTCTGTAGTTCAAGAGTTTATTAAGTAGTTATTTAAGTAAATGTGCTATTGTAGTGAACAAAAACACGAGTGGTGACAATTGAATGTAATTGAACACAAAATTACAGAAAGTCTTGCTAAAATCTGAGACTTACTTACTTACGCATGTTACTTCTCGTGATGGAGCATAGGCCGCTCACCAGCATTCTCCATCCAACCCTGTCCTCGACAATCCTTCCCAGCTCTTTCCAGTTGTTATTCATCCTTTTCATATCTGCTTCTATTTGCCGACGTAATGTGTTCTTTGGCCTTCCTCATTTCCGTTTCCCTTCACGATTCTAAGTTAGAGCTTGCCTCGTGATGCAGTGTGGTGATTTCCGTAATGTATGTCCTATCCATTTCCATCGTCTTTTCATAATTTCCTCTTCAGCTGGAAGCTGGTTTGTTCTTTCCTACAATAGCCTGTTGCTGATGATATCCGGCCAATGGATGTTGAGTATCTTGGGTAGACAGTTATTTATAAATACTTGTACCTTCTTGATGGTGGTTGTTGTAGTTCTCCAAGTTTCAGCTCCGTACAGTAGAACTGACTGTCTTGATGTTCGTATTGAAGATTGTGACTTTGATATTGGTTGAAAGTTGTTTTGAGTTCCATATGTTCTTCAATTGTAGAAATGCGACCCTTGCTTTGCCAATTCTTGCCTTTACATCTGCATCTGAGCTACCTTGTTCATCGATGATGCTTCCCAGTTAAGTGAAGGATTCTACATCTTCCAGAGTTTCGCCGTCAAGAGTGATTGGATTGCTGTTCTCCGCTTTGAATTTGAGGACCTTGGTTTTCCCTTTGTGTATGCTGAGGGCCTACTGATGCAGAGACTGCTGCTTCACTGACTGTCTTTGTGTGCATGTGTTCATGTGTATGCGATAGGAGGGCTAGGTCATCTGCGGAGTCCAAATCGTCTAATTGATTTTAAGCTGTCCATTGTATTCCGTGTTTTCCTTCAGATGTCGAGGTCTTCATAATCCAGTCGACCACCAGAAGAAAGAGGAAGGGAGAGAGTAGACAGCCTTGTCTGACTCCGGTCCTTACTTGGAATGCGTCTGTCAGCTGTCCTCCATGCACGACTTTGTACTGTAGTCCGTCGTATTAGTTCCGGATAATGTTGACAACTTTATCAGGAACTCCGTAGTATCGAAGAAGTTTCCATAACGTCCTCCTATCTACACTATCAAATGCCTTTTCATAGTCAATGAAATTGATGCATAGTGACGAGTTCCACTCAACTGATTGTTTGACGACGATACGTAGTGTCGCGATTTGGTCTGTGCACGACCGATCCTTACGGAATCCAGCTTGTTGATCTTGAAGTTGAGCGTCTCCTGAATCTTTCATCCGGTTCAGCAACACTCTGTTAAAGACTTTCCCTGAGATTGACAGTAGTGTGATGCCTCTGTAGTTTTCACATTTGCTCAGATCTCCTTTCTTCGAAATGTTGATGAGGTGTCCTTCTTTCCAGTTCATCGGCAATTCTTCCTTCTCCCAAATTTTTTTAAAATAAAAGATGAAGCATGTTTGTAGTTAGTTCGATGTCTGAATTCAATGCTTCAGCTGGTATGATGTCGGGTCCTGCTGCTTCCCCGCTTCTGATTCGTCTGATGGCCGTTCTGATTTCTTCCGTCGCTGGTGGATTGACATCTATAGGAAGATCTGTGTGTGCTGCTTTGATGTCCGGTGGATTCGTCGGAGCCGACCTATTCAAGAGTTCCTCGAAGTGTTCTACCCATCTGTTCCGCTGTTGTTGAATTTCGGTGATTGGCTTGCCTTCTTTGTCTTTGACCGGCCTCTCTGGTTTACTGTATTTCCCTGCTAGTTTCTTCGTTGTATCGTGAAGCTGTTTCATATTTCCTTCTCTAGCAGCTTTTTCTGCCGTCGTTGCTAGTTCTTACACGTATTTTTTTCTTGTCGGCTCTAATGCTTCTATGTACTCAGCTTGTGCTTGGACTTTCTGTGCTTGTGTTCGGCTGTTGTTAATTGCTGTCTTGTTCTTCCTTTCTTTGATCCTGTCCAGTGTTTCTATAGAGATGCATTCCTTAGGATGCTATTATTATTATTATTATTATTATTATTATTATTATTATTATTATTATTATCATTATTTGAACACATAAATATTGGTACAAGAGGGCACCAAATTTATATGCGCCACACTATATTTGTGTGTTGTGTGGGCTGTGATACTGCCCGGGTGCCCAGACCCAAGCGGGCGGTTTTCTTAGGGGGCCACACCACGAGCCTTTGACCTAAAGGTCTAACCCACAAGGCAGTGGAGCATCGTGAGGAGATGCGGTCCTATGGTAGCCGGTGACCAACGATTGTTTCATACGCCATTTGTTCCCGCAGGATACTGGAGCCCATGTGCACCATTGGTTTGGAATCCGGTTAAAGCGCCGGACATTCGCTTTTCGTTCTCTCATTTTCGTAAACAACACCCTCGCCACGAGAAGGCAGTGAGTAGGACTTCCCTGTCAGAGGCTATATACGCGTGGCCGTGTGAGAGTATTTCGAGAGGGAGAGCGGACTCTCCCCACTCTCGGGCATACCAGGGCATTTGGGAGGCCCTATGATGATGCTTCTTTAGACCCCAAACCTCCTGACACGTTGAAGTTAATGCTTCCTTGATACCATTCCAGTTGTCCTCCATAGTTGGTTCTTTTTCCTTCAGGCTTGGAACCTGTTGTTGAGAGCTATTTTGAATTCATTGAGATTGTCAGTATCTCGAAGGAAGCCTGTATTGAACTTTCTTAGTGTTGTTTTTCCAGTTGTCAAGTTCTTCTTTAGCTTCAGTTTTGAATTGGTCACAACTAAGCCACAACAGGTGCATATACTCTTTGTGTTCTCCCAAATTTTGGTCTCCTTATTCCTCCTTGTCTTTTTCCCCCCAAATTTATTTCACTGTATTATACTCTTTAAGTAACATCTCCAAACACTAATCTTCCCGATCACTGCTTATACTCTTATTACCTCTACCACTACGGGATTTGAATCGACCACTGCATCTCTGTGCTAATGTGGTGTGAAAACTCGAACTGATATACGTACGTACGTACGAAGTTCTACGTTGTTACTGACTGACAACTAGGTGGTGATCTGTAGCTATGTCAGCTGCTCTCCTGCTTCTCACATCTTCCATTGTCCTTCGGAACTTTTTATTGATGCAAATATGATCTATCTGGTTCTCTGTGGTGTGTCCGGTGAAATCCATGTAGCTTTGTGTATACGTTTCTGTAGAAATATGTTGCCGCCTATGATCGATTTGTTGAATGCACACAGATTTGCAAATCTTTCCACGTTTTCGTTTCTCTCCCCCAGTCCATGTCGTCCCATGATTTCTTCATATCCGGTGTTGTCTATTCCGACTTTGGCATTTAGATCTCCCATCAGAATGGTGAATTCCCTTCTTGGGCACTTCTCTATGATTGATTGCAGTCTCTCATAGAATTGATCTTTAATGTCGTCGTTGCTATCATTGGTGGGTGCATAATATTGGATAATATTCATTGCGATCCCCTCCTTCTTTGTTTTGAATGATGCTTTGATGATTCTGGATCCATGAGATTCCCATCATACAAGTGCATTTCGTGTTACTTTGGACAGCATTAGAGCAACTCCATGAGTGGGTGGAGCATTTTCCTCTTCATGACCGGAGTATAGTAGCATCTCTCCGGTATTTAGCCTTTATTGTCCAGCTTGGGTCCAATGGGTTTCGTTGATTTCCAGTACTGCCAAGTTGTATCTCCTAATTTCCATTGCTATTTGACTGGTCTTCTCGGCCCCTCACATTGTCCGGACGTTCCATGTACCTATGAAAATTGTTGCTCTGATTGTTATAAGGGGCATCAGTCTCGTGGCTTCCGAAAGAACTCGGCTTTCACTATGAGGCTTCATATTTCTTCTAAATGTAAACCTTCTAACTCACAGGGCAGAGTTTAAATGGTTTGAATTATTTTTCCTGATTAGCGTTTTTTTAGTGAGTTAGTTATCTACGGGATAGGGTCACTAACTCCATGCCCAACCCTCATCCTTTACCAGGGCTTGGGACCGGCAGTTACTCTAGAAGAGCTACAGGCGGAGTTAAAATATGAGAACTATATAGTAAATAATTAATTTGCTAAATATCAATCCATTGTCTCAAACTTGACTGTTTCTTTTGCAAATATCAGTCCATCGTCTCAGATGTCATTGTTACTGCATATTCATACCAATTGCTTTCCTTCTCGACCTACTGAAATGCATTATATTCCTGACTATCGTTATATACTACTTATTTCGATTTAGGTAGCTCACGCCACTCTATTATTATTGTTACTTTTTCTAAGCTTACGTTTATATTACTGGAATTTCTGTTTAATTTTAAGCTGTATAGTAGAGCTAACTAGCTGGTCAATAATTCGTTAAAAGCGTACTACGATGACATCATACTAATTACGTCATCTTATAGTTGCAATCGGCATCTCAAATTTACAGAACTATGTTTGTTTTTATCAGCTAATTTACTTAGAAACTTACCTAAAAATAACACACATAAGCATAAGCACTCAGGGAGAGTTGATGGTCATTTTTCCGTAGTATTTCTACCATATATTTTTAAACCCTTTTTGACCCGATGGTTTTGGCCGCTAATTTTATCAGAGATAGTGCAGCTTACGTTTCTTTTGCGAGCCCGGCACTTATCCTTTGCATATACCTATGTACATAACTACACAAGCCGAGACTCATGCAATTCATATACATAAGCGTACGCATCGGGCCACCCGTCACGATTTTAAGGCCTCGAAGAATGGACCCCAAGCAATATAAGTTCAGCATAGGAGTTATGGTTTAGTTTTATCTCCGCCGGACGCCCAAGGTAGCTAACAAGAGGCGAACAGGCCTTAAGTCGAATTTTTCTGCCAACAGCATTGGCACCCTTTCTCTTCCCATTGGAATATTTCTATATAGGAAATATTTTATAATTATTCAGCTTTCTGTGTGTATATAAAATAACTACTTGTTCTCGATAAAGTATTTCATGGATTACTCTCAGTTTCTAACAAATCCAAATCAATAGCAATGACTAAAAAGAATACAAGTATACACATACTTTGCGTCAAATTTACGAAAATGTCTTAATCAAATTGTTGGAAGAAATCGAGGTTAATTAGTGCAAACAAGACTATAAATATGAGACCATTGTGACGATCGTATACTTGACCATAGATCAAGTATATACATGTTATAAAAGAAAAAAAAATGAGAAGGGCATGGAGACGGTGAGTTTCCGCAAATGAAATGTTAATATCATTAGTTATGCAATATCAAATATTTAAATAGGACTGATTAATGAAGTCGAATGAGTATAGCGTAGATAAAAATAAAAAGAAAGGGAAACAATTTATAATTGTATGTATAGAACTCAGAATAAATGATTTCATATTATTTGTAGTTTACATTTGTCGTAGATTGATCTCATTTGGGTACCATCGGGTCCAGTGATGACTGGCCAGGTTTTTCGTCCTAATGTGCAAATCCTTAGTAATGCTTCACCCGTGATCTCCTTCCCAGGGATCGGACATGAGACCTTCAGATCTCATGTTTAGCGCTCAACTCTCAGATCACTGAGTTAGGATCCATTGGTGTGGGTTTCTAACATCAATAAGTTTTATAATATAATGCGACAGTCATCCTATGCCATTGATGAACACTTTTTCACTACTAACTTGTTTCGATTCCATCAGTCACGACTTCTCACTAGAACTTCAAGAATACCTTTAAGTAACTGGCAGTAAGTTGAATATTATTGTTCTGCTAAAATCGTTACCCTTGATTTACCAAAACATGTAGAGAAGAACAATTGTAGAAAACTTGTACTGTCATTAGCGGCTAGTCAAATAACACTATTAAATGTGTGGTCACAACATAAGATCAGTACATGAATTCATGTAACCGATATATATTCATACCCATTCCTACGTTAGTTATGACTGAATTGTTCTAGTGTCATCACTTTCTCATTATACTACTCTTTAGTGTATTTTCAATTTTTATTTCAATCTCATCATCTTTTCGTTATCAAGGTGATCCAAATATGGTTTTACGGGCTAACAGTATAGCAACTAAAGCAACAGAAATTTATCTACGTCTTGTTGGTGGTTCGTATTTATCAAATATTTTATCGGATTTTGTTCAAATTGTTATCAGTGGTCGCCCAGTTGATCCACAATTAAAAACATCTAATCGTTATCCAATCGATTATGAAGTTGATATAGCCAAAGTGCAAACCTCTACACAATTAGCACAAAATCAAGTTAATCTATTAGGTTTAGTTGAAACTGTATGGAAGCGGATTCTATTAAGTGAAGTTGAATTTCCAGAGTAAATTTTCTTTTTCAATTATTATTTCAATTCGATGTTATCTTGATGCCTTTTATTTAATTGATTGTGTATACGTTGGAGAAGATTTGTTGCTCTGTGGATGATTTCGGTGGAGTTTTGTTCTCTGAGCTGGATGGTTTGATCGTGGAGCTTTCGTCGTTCTTCTGAATGACATCATCAGCACAAACTTCAAATAGAAGTGAAGTGTTTGAATTTCTCCAATCAACATCGATGTGCACAGAACAAGCTTTGAAACACATGTGGAGAAATTCAAACACTTCATTTCTATTTGAAGTTTGTGCTGATGATGTCGTTCAGAAGAACGGCGAAAGCTCCACGATCAAACCATCCAGCTCAGAGAACAAAACTCCACCAAAATGATTGTGTATACATTCCAGTTAGTGAGTCAGTGCATGATTGACTATTTTAAGCCTATATATATTGTTCCTTCTTTTGGGATTCATCTATTTGTTTATCTAATGATGAGTGTCGATCTTTCTACTGAGTATCAAATACTCGTTTAGCTTACATATGTTAAACTTCAGATTTATAATAAATGTCTTTTGCGTAGTATGGATTTGTCTGGGAGTTGGATTGGTGTATAACAAATGTCGTTATTGAGGTGTTTATTTTATGGACTAATTTTTAAGAGATGTTAGTCATTTCAATTGAGGCAAGCCAATAATGAGATCATAAGCATCACTAGGATGATAGCTCAGTCATTGAACGACATTTTTCATTTATTAATTAGCGGATTGAAGCATTCATCTTCAATAGAGAGTTATCAGTCCAGAAAAACACCATGAACTTCAGAATGAAGATTTATAGTCATGTAACAAAATGTCGTAACTATCTGTTCGATCGAATAAAGCTACTAATGAACCTTTTTTTACTGAATGACTCAAAGTAACTGGCCAATTAGTGAAACCCAATGCATTGGAATACCACTGAGTCTGAAATAAATTATGACTAAATTTCGAACTTTACTATTTAATTTACATTGGTAGCCAATTAATATATCTAATCCTTGCATAAAATGTGTTGCTCTAAGTCTAATATATCAACCTATTCTTTATAAATATTGGGTTTATCCTAGGTCAGTTTATAAACTACATTAATCGCTCTTACTTCCTCGAACTTAGAACTAACAGTATGTCTTCACATCAATGGAATTAGATTATTTTTGTATAAAAGTGATTAATGTATTGTGTTTTAATTCATTTACCAAGTACAGGTTTATTTAATCGCCTTGGAAAGTTTATTATCTGTTTGATGGCTAGTATATACATGACACGACTAATTAAACCAACGATTTACTTGTTGAATATCCTTAAACTATTACTCTATATATTATTCCATTGTGTAATATATTGTTTGCTATGTTTAACGCTTTTTTTTTCTTCTTTTTTTGTTTCCTTGTTTCTATAGACAATTTAGGGCATTATTTGTAGAGATTAGAAGATATTTAGAAAATGGTATAAAAAGTAATTATTCATCAATGAATAATATTTCTAATAAACATTATGATGGATTAAATTCTTCTAATTCTACAATTAATAGTGGTGGTACATTATGTGAACATGTTATATCAGCTTGTTTATTTCTACGTTATATTTGTCCAGCTATTTTATCACCATCATTATTTAATTTAATTTATGAATTTCCTAGTGAACCACGTATATTACGTGCATTCACTTTGGTAAGTGATAATTTGTTGTTTTTTTTATAGAAAATAATAATAATAATAATAATAATAAATTCAAATCTCGCGAGGCGGGATCGTGGATGTGCACTGCTCAGGAGTCCCACAATAGGACGAAATAGCCGCCCAGTGCTTCCAGGTTTTGCATGGTTGTTTAGCTTCAATTGACTCATGATCTCAACCATTGAAATTACTACAATATCCACGAAAAGCACTTCTGATATAAATATAATTTAGTAAACATATCATTACAGATAGACATTTGTTTTCTTGTTAAAGCGATAATGGGAATTAATATCTAAATGTGCCTTTAGATCATATAAAATTGTCGATCGTTTAGCTAGACTTCAAACTTAAACTATGAACTGTTATATAAGCTGATAGATGTTTCGTGGATTGGTTGAGGTTAGACATTAACACCGTTGGATTCCGGCCGGCTCAGTGGTTTAGGAGTTAAGCGTTCGCGCTCGAGACTGAAGACCATGGGTTTGAATCCCGCTCGCGGAATCGTGGATGTACACTGCTGAGGAGGATTCTCACAATAGGACGAAACGGCCATCCAGTGCTTTCAGCTTTTCGGTGGTGGTCTAACATCAATCAGTTCACATGATCTCAAAAACCCAATAATCTCCACAATCCTATACTGAAAGTTGGATATATCGACTAATGAACCTATCTGAGTAGGTTTGTAGCCAGTGTGGTTTCAACGTGTGTATAAATAGATCATTTGGATTTCGGAAACTTACACCAATATCGTATTTTCCAAAACAATCAACCCCACATTAATTGATGAATACGAAAATCTTTTCTTTGGAATTTGAGGATATGACTAAGTTGTAAGTGTTTGATCAATATATTGGCAGAATAACGAAGTAAACAATGCTGATGTTATGTGTAAGGTACTGGTTAGCAACTCTAAATAATTTACGACGTTTGTAAATATTCATCAACTAACGTGGTCAGGGCATATGTTACTTATCACCTAATACTACAGATTAGTTCAACATACCATATTAACCTCAAAAGAGAATACACTGAAAAAACGTTGCGGTCAGCTAGACCGAGACATGGCATCAGTCGATGAAATTGTTAAATTATTGTAGTTTAAATCACAAACTGGTGTTATTTAGACTAACGTCAGTTCAATAACCTCCACAAACCTATACCAAAGTCAATGACTGTTCGACGTGGTTGTGTTGTTAACGTCTTGGTTGAGGTTCGCTAAGTAATCATTATTCAGAGTTAAAGAATTGCGAAAAGATATGGCTGGAAAATATTTCCAGCGTCTCGGTTATACTCACATCATTTTTCTTCGGTCACCATCCTGAGTTTCGAAGTACTACTAATCTTAATTTTCCATTGGTGTTTACGGCTTGAAATTCTTAGCCATTCATCTTGATAATTTCCTTTTGATATGCTAGTGTAAAGTGCGACAACTTGAACCGAAATATATTTTTTTCAAGTTCTTGCTTGCTTATGACAAGACCCACTGTGATGTAATTGGTTGTGGTTAGGTGGTTTTGAATAAAATACAAACATCATATTATGCAAACTAACGACGTATTTTGCTTTAACATTGTTGTGAAATAGTTTCTATGGTTGTTTCTTAAATCACGTAGGTTTTAATAGCTGATTATCGTGATAATGGCTTTGTTTTTATTTGACGAACATTTATGCATGTGGAATTAAACTGATAACAATGTTATGAATAAGTAATTTTGAATAGTAAGATTAACTGTAAATATCAAGTAGTGTAAATTTTTAGGCATCTTATTTAAAAGCCTTGAATTTGTGTGACGTACTCTAAATGTGATAGTGGGGGAGTTTATGAGCTCAGGTAAATGATTTTGATAAAGTTTCATTCCCCGATCTAGGCGATGTATTCATGAAATATCGATTATTCTTCTGAATAACATCAGGACAAACTTCAGGTAAAAGTAAGTTATTCAAATCCCTCTATATACGACTAATAGATTATCCTGTTGACCTTTAACCTGTCACTATTTGCGTATTTATTTTGATTGTCTCTCCCTTTGACCTGATTCTTGATCCTGCATTCCATAATTTTTCTAATTGGTTGATAAATTGAGTTGATTTCGATTAATATTGATTGCTAACTAACTTGAAAGCCAAGCTTCTAAATATTATCTGGTCTTTGCTCAAAGACAGGTTAAAGGTCAACTTCTATACAAAATTATTTATTTGTATTAAGAAAACTATTTGTAAGCAGGATACCTCTATGGACAAGGCCTGTTTAGTTTTATGGGACTTCGAAAAACTTAATAATCCTTGATTTTCAGTTGATAGATATTTAGAAACTGAATACTGTTAGCGAGATAAAGAACGATTGCGTTGGTGCAGCGCTAGCCGATACTTGGAGAACATTCTCATGTAAAAACTATAAATATGTTCCAGTTTGGAAAGGACAGGAGGCTTGATGGCCTGTGTTAGTCCTGGCAATGGTCTCTCAGTTGATCCAACTTTCTTTTGAAAGAGTCGAAGGATAGAGCCTCAATCACGAGCTGAGGTAATAATTTCCACTCGTTGATGATTCGATGGTAATGTTGATAGTCAGCTGACAAGTAATTTGTTCTGGGCTTGTGAACGTTTTTGGAGTGTCTTCGTAAATTCTCTTTTTTGGAAGACAAAAAAAATGAGGACATATCAAGTGCAAATCAAGTCGCTTCTAGTTCTGCGATGTGACAACGGGAAAAGGTTTAGCTTGGCCAGTCGAGCATCATACGGAAGCTTCGCTATTCCGGGAATCAGCTTAGTTGCTGTTCTCTGAACGTTTTTCAGAAGCTCACTGTCTGTTTTTAAGCAGGAACTAGCCGCTTGTTTGCAGTACTCAAGTTTAGGACGTACGAACACTGTATACAAAGTCAAAAACGTTTTAGCGTCGACATGACTAAAAGCCCTACGTATTGACCATAAGGTTCTAAAAAACTTTGGCGGTTATTGCGCGGTAGTGTGCAGTAATCTTTAAGTCTTGGCTAACTATGACTCCTAAGTCATTATGTGTCTGGACGACAGGTAGTTCTGTGTTATTCATCATGTATGTATCTGTACCATGATGATCGATATGCATCACAACACAGTTGGAAGTATTTTTCGGCAACTGCCATGTTTGAGACCATTCACATAATTTCTTCAGGTCATTTCGGAGTTCTAAGCTACCACCCTTACATCGTATCGTTCTCCATATCTTAATATCGTGAGCATATAGCAAGATCGATGATGATAGGAGACGAGGAAGGTCATTTACATACAAGAGGAATAGCACTGGCCCCAAAACTGTATCCTGGGGCACTCTACTAAACACAGTTTTCCAGCTAGATAACTTTGAGTTCACCCATACTCTTTGTTGGCGTCCAACTAAGAAGTCTTTTATCCACATCAATAAATTGCCTCCAATCCCGACTTTTCTTAACTTATATAACAGCCGGTTGTTCGGAACCTTGTCAAAAGCCTTAGTGAAATCAATGAAGGCTACGTCTACAGGTAGCTTTTGATCCTTAATAGCGCACCAGTTTTCACGAGCGACCAATAAGTTAGTGAGATAAGAATAACCTATTCTGAAACTGTGCTACTTCTTCGAAAGGATCTAGTTTTCATCGAGGTTGCTAGGAGAAGCAACCACAGTTGCGTCAAGCATACTTTGGGATTCTGGAGGGTTGTCGACGATTTGGAAGGTCAGGTTATGTTTTCCGCTAGAAACCGATCGAGCCTTGCGATTGCGAGTTCTAGGCGTTTCCTGCTGGATATCATTTCGAAGACACGGAACAGAAAAAACTTATTTTCTTGGGTTTTTGATTAAGACAAACCTCTTTGGAGACTGTTTTCCCTTCTTTGATCGGTGTGAGTCACCTATTTCCGTACTCACATGAGTTTGGTTCACACCAATTTGCATGTCGACAGAGCGAGTACTGTTCGATGTGTCCCGACTACGCTTGCTAAAACACTTTTTCGCAGCATCTAGCAGTGAAATGGAGTCGGTTAACAAGCTGTTTGCATCCGAACAGCACTGTTGACAAAGCCGTACACAACCGTTTTTACTGAACCGTTTGAAAGCCGCAGGCGTTAAATTCGTGCCAACTTCGTGGTACCAGCCTTTGCACTCATCGCACTGCATCCCGCTTCCAACGGGGTAACGAAAACCCGGGCGTTGGCAATTGCTTTTTTTGCACTGTCCAGTCATTAAACAGGGGTCTTTTTAAAAAAAAAGAGAACTAGATGCAATAATACTCAGAGACAAAAATGATCTATGACCAAAAAAGTAGAAAACTGTAGATTGTTAGAACCAAAAGTACTAACAGATACAATAGAAAACAAAATACCGACGACAAACTAATTTAGAAACAGAAACGATACTCTAATCGAATACTTCAACTGAAATAAATTCAATTAAAGTGAAAACAGTAGTCTTGATACATCATAGACGATCAAAACATTAGAATTTACTCAGCGAGGAAAAATACTACTGTCCTTTTAATTAGCGAATAGCTACGTTGTTGGACACGATGCTAACAGGAATATCTGGTACAGCAGCTTATCTAGTTCAGCTGATCATCTGAAATAGGCATCTTGAATTTGTAGTCGAGAAATCGAAGGCTGAACACAGTGACAAATCAGTTATTTTTCATACAATCAAGGATAGTGAAAGCTCTGAACCAAAAACTCGTTTTGAGTATGACATTTTGCTAATAAAAGAGCTACTCAACTCATAATATCCCCGGAGTTACCTTCCCAAAGGTGTACAGACTAGGTAGTCTAGCAAACTTGAAGCCTAATCAATCCAGACTGCCTAAAGTAGTATTCAACTCTTCGAATGAGGAGGACTTAATTTTACAAAATGGACATAAATTAAAGGGTTCAGGAGTTTTCATACGTAAGGACTTGCCGTTGGCAGACCGCGTAAAAGACGGGAAACCGAAAAAGAACTACAACTTAGGTTAGACGCTGGCGAAAAAGATAAAAGTTGTGTTGTGTTTTATTTCATTTATAGCGTGTGTGTGTGTAGTCAAGAGACTTTTTGATTTACCAGTTTTAAATTCTTTTGTCGTTTCAATGTGAATACAATGTGTCTATTTTTATATTCTCTGCTCTAATTATATTACAGGTTGCTAAAACAATTCAAACATTAGCGAATTTCAGTTTATTCAGTGGTTCTAAAGAAACCTATATGAAATTTATGAATCAATTTGTTACAGATCAACTTCCGGCAATGAGACAGTTTTTACAATCGATTTCAGTCCCAAATCCGAAATCTACTTCGTCACATAAATCATTGTTGAGTAGTGATACAGTTTTAAAACCAATTAATTCTTTGTCAAATATTTATAATAATAACAATAGTAATTTAAATACTATTAACGGTAATACTAATAATGGTTCTATGCCAAATTCTTTACATATAATTGGTTCTGATGAAAATTGTCTGAAATCTACAATTTCGAATAAAGGTAAAATGAAAAATGGTTCTAAAGAGAATAATTATTTTATCAATAATAGTCAATCACATCATGGTGGATTTATCAATGATATTGATGATTATAAAGATTATCCAAGTCATTCTCAGCATTCACCTGTTTTCACAAGTTCAGAGATCACAAATAAATCAGTAAGTTGATATCTTTTAGTTTTGATCAAATTTGTGTGCAAAAAGATTTGAAGGTCACTTGGCAGAGCATTGTATATACATATATACTCCTTAAATCTTATCAAACCACATGCCTTTTTATTCGCTCGCTGTCAGCCACTCGTATCACGACTGTTGTTGCTACATTGATGAGGTGGTCGGGCTTGCCTATCGTGATGAAGCAACCGAGCTATACTGGTTGTAACAACCGTTCCTCAAGGTCCTACCATGTCAGATAGGTCGGTTGAAGAGCGGTAAGACCAAAAACAACAAACCCAAGGTCCGAAGGCGAAGTTGTACTGCTGACTATACAGAGGTGTGACAACAGTAAGGTGTTTCCTTCAGACAACCAGCATGAAAGCGATGCCGCCTTCCCACTAGGAAGAGTGGGGTTAGAAAAATCGACCCTAAAAATGTACACCTTGCCTTATCCCACGGATATCCGTCTCCGGCGGTAAGGTCTCAATAAGTACGGAGCTAAATCAAAAATTACCCATAAAAAGGTCGTGTGTGACCGACCTCAAGCAGTTGTCCGTTAGGCACTGCGGTCACGCTCCCAGGTCACTAGGACTACCTCTAATCCAATTTCTTTTCCAGGTACCTCCAGAAGAACCTTTCGACGGTGTGGGCTACCGGGAAGTGATAACAGTCGTCTATGTGCTGTTCGGTTAAACGGCTCCGTAAGAACTCGGAAGGATAGGGACACACGTTGCCTTTTTGTCGTTTCTGCCTACGCTCCCACTGACTGCAGCTCAGATGAAGTGAAGGATGAAATTTACAGAAAGCTGTCCGAACTTCTTCAGAAAGCTAAACGCTCAGACATAGTACTCGTAGGGGGTGACTTTAATGCTCAGTTAGGTAGTCTAAACCAAACAGAGGCATTTAGGTGGATATTTTAGTATTCCGACACAGCGAACAGATAATGGTGATCTTCTGCTGCAACTATGCTCAGACAATCGTTTATTTTTAGCAAACACAAATTTTAAGCGTAAGGATAGACATCGTCTAACATGGCGACCCCTTACACCAAACGAACGATGGACTCAAATAGACCATATTGCCATCAGTCATCGTTGGAGAGTCAGTAGAAGATTGTCGCTCATTCTGGAGTAACTGCTTGGACTCCGACCACGCCCTAATACGGGCACGCATCTGCTTGCGCCTCACCGGACGCAAAAAAGCCACACAAGAAAAAGACCCATTAGAACTGAGTTGAGTAACGAGAAGACCAAAAGTAGGTTCCAGGAACAACTGAGGTCACAATTAGGTAGTTCTGAAAACGAGGCTGACTCAAATGTTGCTTGGAAAGGCATAGAATCAGCTGTGGAAGCAGCAGTGACATCTATTAGCGACTTAAACCACAGAGTTACAAAGAACCAGTGGATTTCTTCAAAGTCTATCACACTGATGGATTCTCGCAAATTCGTCCCATCAGGTTCCGAACATGATGAAGAGCGACAACAAATCAGATCTAGGTTAAGAAAAAGTCTAAGGAACGACCGTGAGCAGTGGTGGGTAACGAAAGCAAAAGAGATGGAAAAGGCGGCGACTATAGGGAACACAAGACAACTTTACAGACTAATAAAAGAAACTGGAATTAATAATTCAAGTCTAAGTGAGATTATTTCGGAAAAAAACGATACTCTCATCTACTCCCAGTCCAGACGTTTAGAACGATGGGCGGAACATTTTAGAGAACAGTTCAGCTACTCTACCCATCATCCCCAGACAATGTGAATGGTACATTGAAGTAGGTCCCCCAACTCTTGCTAAAGTTGAGAAGGCTATAGTTAATCTGAAACGAGGAAGGGCAGCTGATCTAGATGGATTGGCTCCAGAAGTCTTTAAGGATGGTGGTCCAACTCTAGCGGTTAGGTTGACTAATATTTTAGTTAAGATCTGGGAATTAGACCTTATTCCATCTGACTGGTCGCAATCACTTATCGTCCCAATATATAAGAAAGCGTCAAAATCTTCCTGTGACAACCACAGAGGGATTAGTTTAACAAATATAGTATATAAAATACTAGCCTCGATAATAATCAGACGCCTAACTAAGACTCGTGAACTGCAAACACGAGAAAACCAAGCTGGCTTCAGACTTGGTCGTGGTTGCATCGACCACATATTCACCATTCGTCAGGTTCTAGAACACAGGCATACTTATCGACGTCCGACAATGGTGGTCTTTCTTGACTTAAAAGCAGCATTTGACTCGGTAGACCACAAGATTCTGTGGTAGTGTCTGTCATTGAAAGGCGTACCCCAGAAGTACATAAACTTTGTGAAGGCTCTTTATTCATACACTACTAGTCGAGTCAGAGCTTATGGCGAACTGTCATCTGCTTTTGCAACCTCAAGTGGTGTCCGTCAAGGCTGTCCACTTTCTACATTTTTGTTTAACTTCATCGTAGACCTACTGATGGAAATAACATTCTCGTCTACTGAATTCTAGGATATTGATCTTCATCCAGGAGGTCCACTTATCGACTTAGAATACGCAGATGACGTAGTCCTGTTTAGTGAAGACGCTGACAAAATTCAGAGTCTTCTGGCAGCACTAAGCAACAATGCCAGAATGTTTGGAATGCGCTTCTCTCCCTCTAAATGCAAGTTGTTGCTTCAGGAATGGCCTGAGTCAACACCTGAACTAAGGATGGGAGTGAAGTAGTCGAACGCGTTGACAACTTCACTTATCTTGGAAGTCTGATCAGCCCTAATGGGTTGGTATCGGACGAAATCTAAGCACGGATTCGAAAAGCTCGTTTGGCTTTTGCCAACTTACGTCACCTATGGCGAAGGCGAGATATCCGTCTATCAATAAGACGACGAGTATACTGCGCGGCAGTCCGTCCTGTTTTACTTTACAGCAGTGAAACATGGCCTTTAATAGTAGAAGACACCAGTAAGCTACTAGTATTTGACCACAGATACCTTCGAAATATTGCTAGCGTCTGTTGGGATCACCGGGTAAGTAATAGTGAGGTTAGACTCAGGGTATCAGTGAATGATGGTAAATCAGTTAATGAGGTTGTTAATCTTCATCGACTGAGATTGTTGGGTCACGTGTTACGTATGCCTGAACACCGATAATCACGACGTGCAGTTGTAATCGGTGTTCGGGATGGTTGGAAGAAAGTAAGAGGCGGCCAAACCAAAACGCGGCATCAGTGCTTGAAGTCACTAACTTGTAGTCTGAGCCATGTTGGTAGATGCAGACTACTTGGTTAGGGTCAGCGTGACTTTCACAACTAATGGTTGGAGACTCTTTGTGACATGGCTCAGAATCGATCGCAATGGCGTTGGCGCATACACTCGCTGTCTTCCCTTAAACTAAGAGATTAAAATCACTTCATATCTTTCTTTCTACGAACTAATTCTATATTCCGGTACTGTATCCTTATTGCAATCTTTCTCCTATATATTACCACCTTTGACCTAACCACTCCTATGAATCCGGTGTTGATCTTGCTGTGCTAATGAGGTATGGCAACCTGAACCGATGCACATATGTGCCTGGTCCTACGTTGTAGCTGACTTACTGACTGAGCCACTCGTATTCACTTTATGTGATGTGGATTGTACAACAATATACTGTAACCAAAGCTTCGTATAGTCTTCTGAAATTTATACATTGTTGAGAGTTATCTCGTAACGGTCATCAGGACGCGTCATATACGAAGCATTAGGAATTATCTTGATGATAATCCACTACAACTTTTCGTTCCAGACATGGTATTGTTTTTTCAAACACTCATGATAACTGTTATGAAAGTCACTCGAGCTAGCTACCATAAATGATCCATAGCTAACCTATGACCTTACTTTTATTTATCACTACCTCGTAGTTATCTCACAGTTTAACTTATTCTTATTATTGTATCTGATTGGATAGGAAAGTCTAAGGATATCGTATTTCGGCACTCACATACCATCTCAATATCAAACCGTAGTTAAGAGACTATAAACAAGAAATGCTAATGGCGAAGGCCAATAATGTTTCTGATCAAGGTCTCAGTCTGCATTGCCTTGTCTGGGTCAGGAAAATAAAAGTGTATACAACGATGATTTGTGTACCTACTTAATCGATTTTACTGATTATTTTTCAAATCTCATTACTGTTCAGCAGGAGTATAGGAACTGTGTATATTTGAACTGAATCCCATAAATGTATCGATATCAGTAGTTAATAACTTAATCGCTAGCATGGTGGTAAGTCCATCTATTACGGTTTAGGCAACCAGGTAGTAATATTATTCCTAACATAAACACTAAGTCAAGTACCGTTAGCTACATTAGAGTAACGTAACCAAGGTCAACTAAAGTCAAAAGACTGCCCTGGCTTCTCGGCATATATATATATTGGTTATCTTAAGTTGAAAACTTCATACTCAAGGTGATTCACTCAGCAACAACAGTCAACTCTCAGCACAGACAAGCAAAAACCAACCAGTTGAATATGTTCTGGTTTTATAAAAACTGTACCAAGTAATAAGAAAGCAGTCAGTGAAATAAAAGAAGGGAGATCTGCTACAAAACAAGTCACACCTGTGTAGTACCGTTGTAATAAGTGTAAATCGTCTCTAAAGGAATTCCAACCTTAATTTACCATTTATGTGAACTTTAGTAAGAGTAAACTTGCAATATTCTAGGAGTGGTAGAACACATACTTTATACATCAAAATACTTGACTCGTTATAGAGGTTACGAATTACGCAACTCAGATGATGAGATTCGGAGGCCCGATTCGAGACCTGTTCTGTGAAGGGTAAATTGTAGGAGTACCTAATTTCACTATTGGATAGCACCTTACCATTTATGGTAAAGTCTAGCTTGAGTGAAGCATTACAGAAGTACATCCATCCACACTTAGCCGTGTTAAGTTCCAACTGCCATTTTGAGTACCATTGGGCTACTTTGTTGAACTCCATTCTAATGCAATTTCGCTCATTGTTCATCTCATGAGAAAATGAACACACTGCTTTCAGATCATCTTCCTATAGAAGAGGCTCACCCATAAAGAGGCAATTTCAAATATTTATATAAATGAAAAAGAGCAAAGGATCTAAGACACTGCATTGTATCGCGCCATTTTGACCGGTATAGGATTCGACAAGAAGGAGTTAGTTCCGACTATTTCGTGTGTGTGACTGAGATAAGAGTGAAACCGAGGAAGCAGAGGGTTTTTGACGTCGTAAGATGTAAATTTGCTTATAAGAAGCTGATTGCTTAACACGTCAAAGCTTTAGAAATGTCAAAGTATGACGTTAAGACTAGATATCATTGATCATGTTGAGTAGAGACTAAATTGAAGAAGTTAAATTGGCAAGTCATACATGGTTGATTTTAAAGGAGGCTAGCTACGTTGGAAATCAGTGATAAGTTTTTCAGTAAGTAGTTGGCGAGTTTGTCACCAATAATTTTTTCCATAATCCATGACTGCTTGAAACCTTATGGGAGTTTATAGCCTTGTTAATTTCTGAGAACCTGAAAGAAATAGATTCTATTTTCACAATTCTAAACCTAATTTAGTGATATAATCAATGAAATTGCTTCACTTTCTCAATTAAAACATTTTAATTGAATGTTATATAATTTTTTGGCTATCTGATAAAGAGTACCACTATTCTTAGAAATTTCCTTAGAATTCTACCAACTTTCCTATAATATAATTAATTAACTGACCATTCTTTTTTTAAAATTTTATAAACAGAATGATTTAAAATCAAGTGTAAGTGGGAGTTCTATGTCTCAGAAGTGTCAATCTACAAGATCGATATGTAACTCAATTTGTTTACCTCCTCTACCAACAAACCAACACGGTCATTTAGGCTTAAGAGATCATGTTGATCTACCTTTGTGTTTAGCTTTATGTCATCTTCAATTATCTGAAGCAATTGAAAAAGTTCCTGAAGATGTAAGTCTATTATGATAATGTTTCAATTTTTGTTTTTGTTACACCTTGTGCCCTATTAATATATAATGTAATGATACCGTCAATTAGAGAACAGTGAGTTATCGACCGGACTAATGACGCATAAAACAAGTACAAGCAGCCTAGAGTACTTATCTGTCCTGTTTCCTGCCTAGCCCTGCCCATTGAGTTCAGAACATCAATCTCAGCCTCCGCGATATGAATCATGCATTTCAAATATATTGGGTTTATATACAAACCAAACAGACCACATCGTACCATAAAGTAGAAAACAAAATTTGTACAATTAATAGACAGGGCACAACTCAACAATGATAAATCGTATAATAATAGTTCATAGGTCAAAATAAAGCTTACAATAAGTGGAAAACAAATATGAATAGTATAGTTACTCAACAATTATACGATAAAAATATACGTATAGTATTGGTCCATAAGTGGATCCCAAAAGTTACCACACAGATCCAACACAAAGTGTCAGAATATTCAGAACACCTATTTATATAACATGACAATGAATCTTTCATTTCTGCAACAACTCATACTGTCATATTATCACCATCCATGTATATTGATGTATATGATGTATGTGTAGATCATCTTTTCATTAGCGCTGTAAAAGTATTCATGTCACCAAAACAGTTCATTTATCGGACATAACAATATTTGTTCATTACTTAACATCAGATAACTATTATTTCTTTGACATTAGCCTGTTTAGCCTTTCAAAACAAAACAAAACGGGATTTCAAGTGTAAAAATCACATAACAATTCTTACCTTACCTTATGATCTAATTACTGGACCGATTCCAGTATGGTATTATTTATTTATTTAAACACATAAACATTGGTACAATGAGGCCCCAAATAGGTATGCACCACACAAACTATTGAACTTTTGTGAGGGCTGGGATACTTCCTGGGTACCAAAATCGAAACAGGTGGTTTTCTTAGGTAGCTACACTCGGAGCCATCGACCTACAATCTGATCCACATGTCAGTCCCATGGTAGCTTGTGACCAGCGATTGGTTCACACGCCGTTTGTTCCTTCAGGATCCTGGAGCCCACGTGCACCATTGGTTTGGAATCAGGGTTTCCCAACTTCTCTAAGTGGACTCTCTCTTTATCTAATTTGCATTTTCTCAAGTTTTATCTTGTATACCTAATATTTTTTATTATCATTGGTACTGTTGCTTTTCCCACTACTCTGAGATCTGCTCTGATAGTGTAATCTCTCTGTTTCTGGAGTATGACTCCTTGAAATGATATGCACATATGTCAGGTTTTATGTTGCGTTTGACTGACTGACTGACTAGAATAAATGCATTTTATTTTATCGGTACGGATTTGGATGTTCTATATCTAGTAAACCTTTCCTGTTATTACCCGTCGGCCAATAGAACTTGCTCACATCTGAATGACAACAGATCACTTTTCTATGGAACTTATTCATTTTTAAATTGCAAACATATCGAATTTATTGATAAGAAACTCGATGCTCTTCTTAGGTTAGATCTACAAAGGAAATCGATGTGTCGTTAAAAGTATCTAGGCGGTTTTCATTTTTAAATTTGTAACATTGTAGGAAAATGTTATTTCTCGAGGGGTCTGGAAAGAAAATTGGGTTAGTGGTGGTGATTTTAATGACTGCAGAATAAAAATGAAGCAAAATGAGCAGTGTTGTTACGACCAAACCTGTCTAACCTTTCCCTCCGATTTGACGTGGCAGCATTATTAGTGACTGGTTATCCATGATGGACACTCTGATACAACTACACCCAAGTGTTATTCACCATTCGTTAATACAAGTAAATTACTTCGTAAAAGTGGCAGTATACTCAAGCTAAGTAAAAGGATACGAAATAAAAGGGTTATAGTAAAAATGTTTCTAAAACCACCACAATCCGAATGTATAAACACGTTGGAGCAATGAACTAGTGGTTACGATACTCGGATTTCAGCCAGTTGATCTCAGGTTTGAATCCTGCTCAGCTTGCTAAAATATGGCTAGTCGTAGAACATCACCAACCCTCATCCAGCGTTGTTCAAGGCTAAGCACGTAAATATGTACTTTATAAACTAGTTGAAAGTAACTTAGTTGTAAAAAGAAAGATACGTCTTTTAGTGAAGTGGATTTCGACCTTTCCTAATATCATACCCATAAAGCAATTGGGAAACATTAGATATTCATACGTTTCTATTCCCAAAAATGTTCATCATTATAATTTCTTGACATATTTAACTAATCGATCAATTAGGGTTTGTCGGTTTTTCAACTTGAGGGTGGAATCCACAATGTTCAATCGCATTCACTCATGCTTGGGTGTATCATGTCTTTTAGAACTAAATATTATCCATTGTCTTTCCATATGACATTAGGGGGGAGGCTAAAGCCTTGATGCATTTGGGGAGCAGAATTGTTTACAGACTTCAGACAATACATTTGTCTCAAATATGAGAGCCAAATTAGTACCTCGGTTTCTGACTTACGGTTTATTTAAAACAAAATAAAGTCTAAAACAAATGAGGCAGTTTTACAATGTTTCCGATTGGAGGTAGTCAGTGTGATATCCTCAACTTAAGTTTCTCGCCAATTGACACTGGTGCTCTGAGTCTCAGTTAAACCTACATCGACCATCTTCATAGTCTTGGACGTCACAAATGAGCCAGTCAAATCGTTCGTTTTACTTGATTTTTAAGTTATTCCTTATAATCATATGAAAACCACTTAAATTCTTAAACTTTTTACTTATTAATAATTGTAAAATAAAATTGTAGAAAAGAATGCCCGATGTCAAAGAATTGAAATCAATCCTAGATGAAATAGATACATTTCTTGTGTCTGGAAAAGATCCTCAACCAAATTGGTGGCATAAAACAACTATGAATAATAATGATAATAATACTGATCATAGTAGTAATAAAACAACAATACCAATAAAGAATAACACACCGACTAGAAAAACAACGACAAAAACAATCAGTGAAAATATAAACAATGAGCCTAAAAGCAATTTAAAATCACTATGTTTCCAATCTAATCGAAATAAATCTATAAGTAATGATGTTTATATCTATGAGTGTACAAATAATGAACCCAAGTCAATAATGAATACACCATCATCAATCAATAAAAGTATAAATCTATCCGATGATGATGATGGTGCAACAATCTCTGCATTAAATTCATCAGTCACTAGTTTTATATCACCTAAACAAATTGTTTTTCCTGAAAAAAAGGATTCTCATCATGATTCTAAAGAACAACAAATTAAAATTACAGTAAGTTTCTTTTTTTTCTAAGTTTTCTATTTGTTCCTGTGTGTACAGCTGTTGTGTTCTATTATTGATATGCCTCATTTACTGATCAGCACAATAAGTATATATGTTGATTTTGTTACAAAAAAACACTGGCTGTTTACTTGAAACACTTGACTTCTAACTAGTGATAAGTTGTGTGGTCGGACTCTGGTGCTTGTAATTACATTACACGATTATAAAGTTATTGTGTTACGAATGCAGCTGGACGATCTAGACTTCGCAGATGACCCGCACGCGCAACAACAAATGCAGAAGAAGACGACCAGTGTGGCAGCAGTAGGTCTCAACATGCACAAAGGGAAAAGCAAGATTCTCCGATACAACACAACATGCAACAATGCAATCACAATTGACGGAGAAGATTTGGAAGATGTAAAAACCTTTATATATTTGGGCAGCACCATTGACAAACAGGGTGGACCTGATGCAGATGTGAAGGCGCGGTCAGTAGCAACGTAGAACTTCGTACGTACAACAACAAGGTACAAAAACAACTGTCAACCAACACCAAAGTTAGAATTTTCAATACAAATGTAGAACTCTACTGTATGGAGCGGAAACCTGGAGAACTACGAAAGCCGTCTTTCAGAAGATACAAGTGTTTAGTAACAGCTGTTTACGAAAAATACTTCGGAACCGTTGGTTGTACACTATCAGCAACAACCTAATGTGGGAGAGAACAAACCAGATCCCAGCGGAGGACGAAATCAGAAAGAAGCTATGTATTGCTGTTTGATGATTTCTTCACTGTGTGTCCTATCCACTTCCAACGTCTTTTCCTAATTTCCTCTTCAACTTGAAGCTGGTTGGTTCTCTCCCACAGTAGGTTGTTGTTGATGGTATCCGGTCGACAACGGACATTGAGTATCTTGAGTATAAAATTGTTTATAAATACTTGTACTTGTTTGATGATGGTTGTAGTATTTCTCCACGTTTCAGCTCCGTACAGTAGAACTGTGTTGACGTTCGTATTGAAGATTGTAGGTTTGATGTTGACTCACAGACAGTTGTTTTGAGTTGCATATGTTGTTCAACTGCAGGAATGTTACACTTGCTTTGCTAATCCTCACCTTTACGTATGTATCGGATCCTCCTTGTTCATCGATGATGCTGCTACTGTTCAGGTTCATGAGAGTTTCCACCTCTTCCAGAGTTTCTCAAGCAAGTGTGATTGGGTTGGTTGGTGTTCTGTGTGTTGTATTTGAGCATGTTGTTTTTTCTCTTGTGTATGCTGAAGCCTAATGATGCAGAGACTGCTGCTACACTATTTATCTTCATTTGTGACTGTTGATGTTTATGAGATAGAAGAGCTATGTGATCTATGAAGTGCAAATCGTCTAGTTGCATGCAAGTTGTCCATTGTATTTTGAGCTTCCTCTCAGATGTGGAGGTCTTCATAGTTCAGTCAACCATCAGAAGGAAGAGATAGGTGGAGAGTAAGCAGCCTTGTCTGACTCCAGTCCTCATTTGAATGTGTCTGTCAGTTCCATGCACCACTTTGCAGTGTTGTTCGTCGTATGAGCTCCGCATGATGTTGATGATCTTCTCAGCTACTCACTCCATAGTGTTGAAAAAGCTTCCATAATGTCGTCCCATCCACACCTTCAAATGCTTCCTCATAGTTGATGATTCTGGACTCAGGAGATTCCCATCCTATAAGTATTTTACCTCCTTCTTTGGATAGCGTCAAAGCTATTCCCTGAGTATGTGGAGCATTTTCTTCGTGACCAAAGTATAGCAGTATCTCTCCCGAATCTTATGTTTTCTGTCGAACTTGGGTTCAATTTTGTGTCACTGATTGTGAGCACCAATAAGTTGTATCTGATTTCCGTTGCTATTCGATTGGTCCTCCCACATTGTACAAACATTCCACGTACCTATATTAGTTGTTGCTCTGGTTGTTGAAAGGGCATCGACCTCGTGACTTTCGAAGAATCTGGGCTTTCACCATGAGGTGTCATAATTCCTCTGAAAGGAGATCCTTCAATTCGGAGGACAGAGTTTAAATAGTTTATTTGTTTATTTAGGTTAGTGTTCATTTAGCTAGTTTGTTTTCTACAGGATGGGGTTGCTGACACCATTCCAAACCCTCCTCTTTTTTATGTGGGATTGGGACCGGTAGTAACCCTAGAAGAGCCACAGGCTGAGTTTTTATTTGTTCTCAGAGTGAATTACATCAGATAAATGCGATTCTACAACTAAATTAGTCGTTTATCTGATAAGCAAATCAACAAACTCGCTAGAAAAATAAGTAAAAATATTATGCATGGTAGATAGCATTATTGAGTGTAATTCTACTGTCTTTTCTCGGCTTTATGTTTGTGTAACTCATGGCTCAAATAACTTAGTCGAACTGCTAACATTTCACATCGTATCAATCTTTTATAGATTATCATGAGAAAAGTATTTAAGCTAACCTAACTTAATGGTGACGAAGTAATTTAAGCGTATTTAATTAATATTTTATCATTATGATTGTTTTGCTTTTAGCCTAACTCAAATATCAAGTTTGTTGTATCAAAAGGAAAGCAAGAACGTGTAGCACGATGTGACTCAATAGAGATCATTAAAATCTCACATTCAAACAATCATAATAACTCGATGGATACGAATAATGAACAGATCTATGATATATTAAATCCCACAAATTCTTATGTAGCTTTACCTATTGATCCGAATCCATCTAAAAAAGTTACTGAATCAAATCATGATTTCTCATCAATAACACAACGGGATAATCGAAGAAGAGTTCAAAGTACTAGAAAAACACAAGAACCTATTATTGTTCATCAGAATACTATAGATACTGATAATAATGTATGCGTTAATAATACATTACAAAAGTCATCAGTAATAGATCACCAACAACTATCCAATCACATTGCATCAATTGATATATGTAGCGATATTATTAATCCAGAACAAACTGAACATTCAGAGTTTAGTCCAATTTATTTAGGGAATTCTTCATCATCTGGTTATCTTACTATTTCAAGTCATGGGAATATTTTAAATTATCCAGCTATAGAACAAAAATCAACTATAGTTGACCCGATTATTGTCTCTACATCGGATAATGATATCATCATGACATCATTGTGTACTACTACTACTGATATTAGTAGTATGAATAATCCTGTATACACTTGTCATTCACCAAAACAAAGTAGTTCAATCGATTCCAGTGATTTTCAAAATCAAATGACAATTGTTGATGATACAAATCATTCATTAGGTATGTGTAATCCTCAATCAAAGAAAACTTCACAAAATTCTGTTAGACGACATACATATGTAAATTTATGTAATGATACACATGAAACAGATCGACTGATTGATGCTTTAAAAGATAATCATTCTAATTATAAAATAAATACTAAAGTTAATAATATAGAATTAGACAAACGAAATTGGGCACCACCTATGTATATATCTAATGAACAAAGAAATAAACGTATTACTCTTACATATCCAACATCTTATGAACATGTAAATTCACCAAATGAATCAATAAATTATAATACAGATCAAAATACTCTCAATTATTATGGTCAAGAAAATGTAAATTTTACTGATCCATTTAAATTTTCACCATCTGAACAAGAATTATGCCAAAATTCTACATTACAAACAGAAATTCAACGAATCAAATTTATTCCATCAAATACTTCTCATACGATTGGTGCAATTCCCAATAAAAGAACTGCATTATTTTCATCAGAAGTAAGCTTTTACTCTCTCTCTCTCTGTGTTATTCTTTTATTAAGTAAAACTAACGAACATTTTTTATTTTGTGAAATATTGATACAAAAGTCTGATATTATTTAACAGGAAAATAATGAGAAACTACGCAGCATTTGATTTCAATCCTCACAAACCGCTTAACTCTATCTCAAATGAAACAGGTAATAATACTACTTATAATAATATTGAACTATCCAGGTGCTATATGGCACATTGGTTTAAATTTGAAGTGTTTACCTTTGGCTTTCTATTAAATGATGTTCTCCTCACTCCAAGATCAGGATTTTTAAAAGTGTTTCTAATTCACTCACCAGATCTATGCTCTAAACGTGAATGTTAATGATGATACTTGGTTGCTCAAATTGAAGTAGACGTAGCGAGATTCCGATTAGGGACGTGGCGGCTGCAAGTTAAAAACCCTAACCACTGAACCACAGCAGTTAATGTCAGTCTTTGATAAAAACCTACCTTTAATTAGAACGGATCTCAGTTGATTGATTACTGTCTAGTCACTAATATCACATCTTTAGTGCATTGATGGTAATCGAAACTTGTTAATCAAATTGCAATGTGACTGCTAGTGTGAGTGACTTTACATCACGTGCGTTTGTTGATACTTCAGATGGTTAAAGGTAGTTGGCAGGAGACTGTGGACATTGGTTTCGTGAACTAGAGGACATTGATTAAGAATCAGTGATTAACCATTTATAAATATGTCACTCCTACTGTAAACCAGTCGAGATTTCAGGTACATAGACCTTACAGACAAGTGGCAGATAACACGAGACTTGGGTCCATGGTTGCCTAATGACTTTCAGCCACCTAACAGAAATAAACCCCATTAACCATCCAACTCGAGAAAAAGATTGTCACATGAAATTAAAAAAATGGGTTTTCTCATTTAGTTTAATATTTAGTGTCAATCACAATTACAAAAACCATTCGAATGTTAAAGAGTTAACTATGCACATCCTGCGTCTTCTCCTAATTTCCTCTTCAGTTGGAATTTGGTTTGTTCTCTCCCGCAGTAGGTTGTTGTCATTTACTTTGTTAACTTCAATTATTTTTTAAAAGGAAATAAATTAACACATCACTTAAAATTTTTGCATGTTTCTTTTGATGATCATGAAGAATAATACACCTACAACTATAATAGATCTTCGAAGTGAGTTGGATGCATCACAAGCACGTTTAGCTGAAGCTCAAGCACGTCTACTGGCTAATGAAGCTGAACGTATTCAAATATTGAAATCATGGCAAAATGAACTGATCAAGCAATCTCAATTAATTAATGCAAGTAAAGCGGTCTGTAATAATTCACCAATTCCTCAATTTTCATCTAATTTACATTTAACAAGTACAGAAAGTAATTTACACTGTAATCCTGATGAGAATGACTTTAATGAAGGTGGACCTAGATCAATATCAGTAATACCTTTATTAAATTCAAGCGGATTGAGATCACAAAATTACTCCGAAAGTATCTATGATTATGATGATAGTGAATTGATGAATAATACTGAACCAAATAAACAATACATTACTGATACAAATATTCAAACATATAATAGTAATGGGATTAGTCGAAATTTTGGCTTACATGCATCATCTCCTAGCTCATATATAAAGTCATTAAGGTAAGTGTTATCCGTTTCTGTTTCGTACAACCTACTGAATATATATATATTAATAGCTACTCAGATAAGCCACAAGTGTCTTTGCAGTTCCAAATACAAGTGAAATTATACGTCATAACATAAACAACAAATCAGAACTGTTGCTTTTTTTCTCTATTAACTTTATCTTCTTGAATAAATAACAGAATAATAAAGAACATGTTACGTTAGTTCATTACTTGAACTTTATAAATTCAAAACTGGAGAAACTCCGTTTGTCACTTCAATACTTTTGATGGTTATGAGGTAGTACTTGTTAATTAAGTCGAGGTATGTGTTTTAATTTGATCTTTCTCGCTCTATGTGAACTTGATTGTTACTGCAATAATACAAGTCACTTAATCATAAAATAGTGAGTAAGAATGTTCTTAATGCTATTTACCTTACTGACATACGCCTATAGTCCACCTAGGAGAAGCAAAGGCCATCTATCAAAATTCTTCAACCAACTCTGTCCTAGGCAATCCATTCCAGTTGCTATTCATCCTTTTCATGTCTGCTTCGAATTCTCGGCTCAGTGAGTTCTCTAACCTCTCACTTTTCATTTTCCCTTCAGAATTATAAGTTAGGCCTTGTCTAGTATTGCAGTTTGATGATTTCCGAAGAGTATGTCCTATCCACTTCCAACGTCTTTTCCTAATTTCCTCTTCAATTTGAAGCTGGTTAGTTCTCTCCCACAGTAGGTTGTTGTTGATGGTATCCGGTCGACAACGGACATTGAGTATCTTGAGTATAAAATTGTTTATAAATACTTGTACTTATTTGATGATGGTTGTAGTAGTTCTCTAAATTTCAGGGACACATGTCGTTGCCTTTTCGTCATTTTGGCATACGCTCCCACTGATTGTTGCCTGGATGAAGTGAAAGATGCCACAGAAAGCTTTGTGAACTTCATCAAAAAGCTAAACACTCGGAAGTAGTACTGGTAGCAAGTAACTTTAATGCCCAAGTAGGTGGCTTAAATCAAACAGAAAGACATTCAGGTGGATATTTTAGTATTCCGGTTCAACGAACAGATAATGGTGACCGTCTGCTGCAACTGTGCTCAGACAATCGTTTATCTTTAACAAGCACTAATTTTAAACATAGGGAGAGATATCGTCTAACATTAGAGTTGAACTCAACGTCACCTATGGGGAAGGTGAGATATCCGTCTATCAATAAAAGGACGAGTATACTGCGCGGCAGTTCGTTCCGTTCTACTTTACGGCTGCAAAACGTGGTCATTTAGAGTATATGATACTTGTAAGTTACTAGTATTTGACCACAGATATCTTAGAAATATTGCTTGCATCTGCTGGGATCACCGGGTAAGTAGTAGTAAGGTTAGATGAGGTTGCGAATCTCCATCGACTGAGATGGTTGGGCCACGTGTTACGTATTCCTGAATCCCGATTACGACACAGAATGCTGACTAGTTTTGGAGACGGCTGGCCAAACAGAAACGTTGCATTGGTCCATAAAGTCATTAACTTCTGATCTGAGCCATGTTGATAGATGCAGACTACTCGGTTGGGGTCCGCGCGGCTATCGTAACCAATGGTTGGAGACTGTGGGTGACATGGTTCAGAATCACAATGGCGTAGGTGTATACACTTTTCGTCTTCCTTTAAACCGTGAGGCTAAAATTACTTTATAGCTACCTTTCTACCTGTATCATATCATTATATAGACTTTTCCACCATTGATTTAACTACTTCGATGAATTTGGTGCTCTTGTTATGCTAATGAGGTGTGGCAACTTTTACCGATGCATATATGTGCTTGGTCCTACGTTGTAGCTGACTGGCTGATTTCCTTCTCTTGAAGCTTTTACCACTGTCATTGCTAGATCTTCTACGTATTTCTGCTTGTTGACGCTAACCAGAAAAACGTTCTTATTATGAACTGTTAGAAATGATGTTGGGAATCTCAGTAATAAATAATCGGATAGTTTGCTTTGATAGTTCTAAGTATACTTTTAAAAATTAGATTCACTAGTTGATATTTATTTAATTTCGTCTAATATTCAAGTCGTTACATGATCTACTTGTTCATCTCAATTCATGTTGTGAAAATCAACTTTTTCTAACTGATTGAAATAAAAAAAATTTTGATGGTTCTCAAGTATGATAGCTATTTACAGTAATTAGTCCCCCTTCGATAAGACGAATATTATCAGAACTATGCGATATATTAGCGCAATACATTTCGAACAATTTGATTACACATATAGTTATTGTTTTTGTTTTGCTCTTTTATAACATCATTCATTTTTAAAAATACAGATCACATACCAATCAACCTCGTATGGGAGCGTCTGCTGTTGTCACAAACTTACACGACTATCATGGGACACCACCAATGAGTGATTATCTTCAGTCGACAATACCACGAAGTAGAATAGTAACCAATCGGGGTTATCAATTACACAATACTACTACAACCATTACATCAACAACTAACACGGAATTAGACGAATTTTGTCGAATATCACGTAGTCCTTCTACACCGGGTTTGTCTAACTCAAACTTCACACATACTCTTCGTGTAGATCCTGCTGGTGATATGGACAAAGAGTTGAATTCAACAGACAATTCAATTGACCCTGTTACTAATGACGAAGAATTCGCTAGACAAATTCAAGCTATTGTACATGAGAACAATCAACATTTATATTCATAATAACTAAATTCACAAATGTAATGAGGCATATCATCCTCCTTTCTTTCTAAATGCACAAATAGCGACGACAACAACAACAATAATAATAGCTCCAATACTGTTATTACTACTACTACTACTAAATATACTATTTGATATGTAATTTCTGATTCATTTGTCACGGAAACAATAATTTATATTTTTCTTTGCTCACATATCAAACCTTTTGCTCCTCCCCCCTCTACAAAAATATAAACAATAACGAAAATAAGAACAAAGGAAACTCATTCTCTTCCCCCCTTCTCTCTCTATGGTAATTTATAAATAATTACTTGATATATATATATTACTTTTTACATAAATATGCAAGTGAACTTTCTATATATTTTGTTTATCATTTATTTATATGAAACTGTTCACTACCACAATCACTATCAACTACAATGACCAAACCGGCACAAATATTTCTTTTTTTTTTGTATAGATTATTGATTTATTGACTTCATATGAATATAATATTCTTTTCTTTGTGTTATTGAAGCGAGAGAAAAAAATCATGATATGAATATTCTTTGTACAACAAACAACAACATTCATCAAAATAAATTAGTTTACATTCTCTTTACATGAAGTTTTGTTCCTTTTCTTTCTCAATCTGTTCCATTATATGGAATATGAGTTGATGAGATTTTAATGTTAATATGCATAGTGTGATCATTTCCTTGACCTCACCCTAGCCGAAACGGGGAGCTGACTCGATACATTATCCGTTTACTTGACTACCCGACGGCGAATTCTCGTGGACTGATGGATATAGGCGCATAGGACTAAGTACGAGGGTAGAAGAAGCACTTTTAGAATGGATCCTTGTAAAAACTCAGAAGGATAGGGACACACATCGTTGTCTTTTCATCATTTCGGCCTACGCTCCCATTCATTGATAAAAAAAAATAGTCTACATTGTTTACATTAAGTTTTCAATTGGATTTTGTTCTTTTTCTTCTTAATCCGTTCCATTATATGGAATATGAGTTGATTAAATTTTAATGTTAATATGCATAACATTTTAAATTAGAGAGACTCAAGCAGTCGTTGTTTCTGGTTAAAATAGATACTAAACGTTGCTGAAACAAAAACTACAAACTTGTTCTTATTTCATCAGCTTCAAGCACCATGGATACTTCGGTTCCTTACCATGAGGATTATTTATTTATTTAAACACATAAACATTGATACAAATAGATACACGCCACATAAATCATTCAATTTGTGTGAGGGCTATGATATTGCCCAGGTGCCCAAACCGAAGCAAATGGTTTTCTTAGGAAGCCACACCCCAAGCCTTTGACCTAAACTTCTGATCCACAAGGCAACGTTAGGGAATGCAGTCACATGGTAACCGGTGACCAACGATTGCTTCATATGCCATTTGTTCCCTCAGGATACTGGAGCCCATGTGCACCACTGGTTTGAAATCAGGGTTTTTCAACTCCCCGAGGCGGACTATCCGTGTCCATGAACGCGATTAAAGCGCCGGACATTCGCTTTTCGCCCTCTCATTTTCGTAAACAACACCCTCGCCACGAGAAGGCAATGAGTAGGACTTCCCTGGCAGAGGTTATATACGTGTGGCCATGTGAGAGCATTTCGATAGGGAGAGCGGACTCTCCTCACTCTGCCGTATCAGGTTATTTGGGAGCTTAGTATGAGGAAGTTGAAATTGTTCCTTCTAGTCAAAAGGCTTTTCTTATATTGCCACCTAATCAGTTCGCTGTCAATGTACAGTTTAAGATCTGTTATATGTCAGCTGATCTCTTAAAAACATAATGAACTGTATGTAGCATAAATCTTCTCTTATAAGATTTCTTTCAAAACTGAAAAAAGACTAACACGATACCTTTTATCTTACTTTCCAACCCACAGATTGAGAATAAATATCATTCGTAAATGAGATTTATGATGTCCGAAAAAAAAGAGATACAATAGGGAATAATTTCAAAGTTAGTCATTACTTTAAGGAATATGATTGTTATGTTGTTACTTTCTTTTACTAAACAACTAGTCTGAATTCTGAATGATTGTATTACTAAGAATTTAGCTTGATAATACTAAGAGTACTTATCATAGAAATATTAACAAATTGTAATTTTTGTATGCGATGCATACATGTAAATACTGAGAATTAATACATATGAACTGTATAACGTTGCATACTGAAACCATGAAGTATACAGTATCAAGTAGATATAAACTAGAAGTGAGATTATGGATCTATAAGAATGAAGGTGAAGTAAGAGTGTTCTCCATTCTGCCTCCATTGTAATATACTCTTGTTGTGTTGTTAACGGAGAGATTCTATACTGCTTTTTTTATCTACCTCTATCAACTTTAAAGTGACCAACAACAAAATTACATTTCTACGTTACGATGAAAACAAGATTAGAAATGTCACTATATCAGAAAAAATTTTTAGTTTAGAAGCAAACAAACCATCAGTATGAGGTTGTGGAGATTAGTAAGTTTTTGATTGAGATTATGAACCTATAGATGTAAGACCACCATTGAAAAACTGGAAGTATTGGACGGCTATTTCGTCCTATTGTGGGACTCCTTAGAAATTCACATCCAAAATCCCGCTCGCAGGATTCGAACCCAGAGCCTTCGGTCTCGCGTGTGAGTGCTTAACCTCCATATCACTGAGCCGACATCCAACGGTGTTAATGTCTAACCAATCTGACGGTCTACGGAGTCAGTCATAAGCTGATTGGTTCAAGGAAGTTCAGCTGTCGATCATCAGATCTTAGCTTTATAGTTACAGACTAGTTTAAGCACACTGTGAATAACACAATACTGATGATATCAGTGTGAATACATCGATACACGATGGTGATTCTACGTTTCAGACTGGACGAGCTAGAACATCTAAAACTAGTTAAAACGACCAGATAATGTCACCATTATTTACTGTCAGATGATAGATATGCAACTCATATTTTATTTATGTGATCTAATGGATTATATTTCTTTTCCAATCATTTCAAAGTGAAAATCGGTAACAGAAATAGTTTTGGCGAGACTACAATTTATGGACGAACAAATCACGTATAAGACAATAGGCTTCGAATTTTCGCACGAAATTCACTCATCCATTTGGCTGAATAGTTTTGGCATTATAGCTAATGTCAGTTCATGATCAAAACCCGAAATCGAATTCTTAACCTTAATCATCAAATGTGAATCATAATGGTAATTCCTCACACACAACCATAATTTGATCCTGGTTATTAGGCGGACATTCTCAAGGTCACCTTAACGTCGTTCAAAGGTTGTCCGTAAATTATAGTTTCCCCGTAGTTTTTGGCCAATTTAAAAGGTCTAATCAATATTGAGTTTCAAAGTGAACCAATTGTTATTCAGTCAGTCAGCTACGACATAGGACTACGCACATATATGCATGCCACACCGTATTAGCACAACAAGATGAACACCGGATTCATAGAAGTAGTTAAGTCAATGGTGGTAATATATAAAAGATTGCAATAAGGATATAGTACAGGAAGAAAGATTCAGCAGGTAGAAAGATATGAAGCGATTTTAATCTCTTAGTTTAACGGAAGACCGGAATCAGACAAGGCTGTTTACTCTCTCCCTTCCTCTTTCTTCTGGTGGTCGACACGGAATACAATGGACAGCTCGAAATCAATTAGACGATTTGGACTTCACAGATGACCTAGCCCTCCTATCACGTACACACGAACAGATGCAGATGAAGACAGTCAGTGTAGCAGCAGTCTCTGCATCAGTAGGCCCTCAGCATACACAAAGGGAAAACCAAGGTCCTCAAATTCAAAGCTGAGAACAGCAATCCAATCACTCTTGATGGCGAAACTCTGGAAAATGTAGAGTCCTTCACATACCTAGGAAGCACCATCGATGAACAAGGAAGTTCAGACGCAGACGTAAAGCCGAGGATCAGCAAAGCAAGCGTCGCATTCCTACAATTGAAGAACATATGGAACTCAAAACAACTTTAAACCAATATCAAAGTCACAATCTTCAATACCAACGTCAAGGCAGTTCTACTGTATGGAGCTGAAACTTGGAGAACTACAACCACCATCAAGAAGGTACAAGTATTTATAAATATCTGTCTTCGCAAGATACTCAACATCCATTGACCGGATACCATCAGCAACAGCCTTTTGTGGGAGAGAACAAACCAGCTTTGAGCTGAAGAAGAAATTAGGAAAAGACGATGGAAATGGATAGGACATACATTACGCAAATCATCAAACTGCATCACGAGGCAAGCGCTAAATTGGAATCCTGAAGGGAAGCGAAAAAGAGGAAGGCCAAAGAACACATGAACACGATGAATTACAACTGGACGGAGCTAGAAAGGATTGCCCAGGACAGGGTTGTATGGAGAATGCTGGTGAGTGGCCTATGCTCCTTCACGAGGAGTAACAGGCGTAAGTGAGTAAAGTAATTGTGATCGATTCTGAGCCATGTCACCAAGAGTCTCCAACCATTGGTTACGATAATCACACGGACCCCAACCAAGTAGTTTGCATCTATCAACATGGCTAAGACCAAAAAGTTAGTGACTTTGTGGACTGATGCCATGTTCTGGTTTGACCGCCCTTAACTTTCTTCCAACCATCCCGAACACCGGTTAACATTGCACGTTGTGGTAATTGATGTTCAGGTATACGTAACACGTGGCTAACCATCTCAGTCGATGAAGATTCACAACCTCATCAACTGATTTATCATCATTCCCTAATACCCTGCGTCGAACCTCACTATTACTTACCCGGTTATCCCAGAAGACCCCTGCAATATTTATAAGACATCTGTGGTCAAATACTAGTAGCTTACGGGTGTCTTCTACTCTTACTGGCCATGTTTCGCTCCCGTAAAGTAAAACAGAACGGACTGCCGCGCAGTATACTCTTCCTTTTATTGATAGACGGATATCTCGCCTTCGCCAAATTTGACGTAAGTTGGCAAAAGCCAAACGAGCTTTTTGAATCCGTTCTGAGATTTCGTCTAATACCAACCCATTGGGGCTGATCAGACTTCCAAGATAAGTGAAGTTGTCAGCGCTTTCTATTATTTCTCTAACTATCGTTAGTTCAAGTGTTGATGCAGGCCGGTCCTGAAGCAACAACTTGCATTTAGAGGGAGAGAAGCGCATTCCAAACATCCTGGCATTGTTGCTTAGGGTTACCAGAAGACTCTGCGTATTCTAAGTCGATAAGTGGAGATCAATACCCGAGAATTGTTATTATCACCATTTGAACTATCAATTTGTATCAAAATATTTTCCTTATTTTAATAATTAAAAAAATAAACATTTCCATGTTCAGTCAGCTACAACGTAGGATCAGGCACATATATACATCGGGATAACTGCTTGAGGTCGGTCATACACGACCATTTTGTGGGTAATTTTCGTGTTAACTCCGTCATTTGTTGAAGTAGTAACAACGATCCATGTTTAACTCTATAGAAAATAATCTGTTTATATTTCTAACAAAAATGAATGATTTCATACATTTATACATAAGAAGTTATCACCGTAAATTCATAATTTTCACAGAATTTACAAAAATGAAACAACCTTCTGGAATCAACACAGAAAACGGTAAACATACATATCTACTTCATAAATATTCATCAAAAATTATTTATAAAACAAAGATTTTTGAAGTGAACATCGGTTTGTAAACGTAATTGACAATATTCAAAATTTGATAGAATATTATCAATTGGTATAGTACTTGCTTTATTCACTATTGATCTCCATTCAGCAGAACGATGTGCAATATCAAGATTATTTGTTAAATCTTTTAAAAATACAGATAATTCAGGAATTCGTTTATACATTGTACATTCAATAAGTTGAGTTATTTGATTAATAAGATATTCTGTTTCATGAATTAAACAATTGAATGAATCAGTTATTGATTTTTGTACATTAATTGTTTTATTAGATATATCACTTTCTAATAATGATTGATTATAAGGAACAAAATGAAACTCATCAACATTATTTTGAGTAAACAATAATTGATCTAATAGATTCAATAATTTACGTGAACTAAAAATAAAAACACACACAAAAACAATTCAATGATAAAGTGAATAGAAACTCCACTATGAAAGTGAATCATTCAAACAATAGGTAAATAAATAAATATTTTGGTGGAGTTTTGTTCTCTGAGCTGGATGGTTTGGTCGTGGAGCTTTCATTGTTCTTCTGAACATCATTAGCACAAACTTCAGATAGACTTCTATCTGAAGTTCAGAAGAGCGATGAAAGCTCCACGACCAAACCATCCAGCTCAGAGAACAAAACTCCACCAAAATCATCCACCTGAGCTACAAATCTTCTCTACCATCTCAAAATAAATATTACATGATTGTAATGAATGTCTATTACATGTTCTTTGATGCCGCCTTCAAGTAATCTCTTTCATATGTCAAGAATAGATTTATTTAAGCTTCATGAATAATTTGACCGGCTACTTCGAGATTAAAACTTATGTCCCCGAGGTGAAAAAAAAAACAAACCCAACTACCATTCAGCTAATTGGCTGGATGGTGAACTGTGTGCCAGTATAAAGTAGTAACCGGTATACAGCGATTAGGAGGAAGAAAAAAAATCTATGCTTCAATAATTCCTGCTTATTGAGATATGTTGTTATTCAGTTTAACAAACATTGTCTGGTAAAGTCTTATCATCATTGAGAATCACAAAATTATAACAGAACTTGTATTTGAGTATAAGTACCGCTGACATTACGTCATAACCCCATTTTTTCATAGCTCAGGGTTCAAGCAAACTTTATGATAAAAACACTTTGTTGATGCTAAAGTTAGATGGAAAGGAGTGGAAACGTGGTTTGGATATATAACACAGCTTTACAGCATGAACTATAGCTGGGTTCTGTCATTTGATTTTTTTTGGATTTTATTTCTCACTTCCCATTACTGGATATGGGTAGTGTAAATGTAAATGTTTCCTTTTTGAAATGAATCACATATTAATGACAAACAATAATGGTTAAATGCAGTATTATCAGAAGGGGTTTGTGGAGATTTTAGAAATTTTCGCAGATTTAAATCATGAGTCAGTTGAAGCTAGACCACCATTGAAAACCTGGAAGCACTGGACGGCCGTTTCGTGCAGTCCCATGGTAGCCGGCGACCAACAACTGGTTCATACGCCATTTGTTCCCTCAGGATACTGGAGCCCATGTGCGCCATTGGTTTGGAATCCGGTTAAAGCGCCGGACATTCTCTTTTCGTTCTCTCAATTTCGTAAACAACACCCCCGCATTGAGTGGGACTTCCCTGGCAGAGGATGTAAACGCGTGACCGTGTGAAAGTATTTCGAGAGGGAGAGCGGACTCTCCCCACTCTTGACCATACCAGAGTATTTGGGGGCATATATATAAAGGCTCAAATACATACACAGTAAATTAGGTATAAAAGAAAGAGAAAATCTAAACAACAAAATCTTTTACACTTGCCTCGAACGAATTTCAATAATTATTGGATTAGATATACACCAATTCATATTAACATATAAACATATACCATTAAAAATACCATTAGTAATTAAATATAATAAATGTTTATTGAATTTATATACATTCCATGTACAAAATTTATTAAGTTTAACTTCTAAATTATTGATCATTAATTGTTGTTTAGCAACTATTAAATGAGGATCAAATTTATTACTCTGAATAGTCCATTGTTTATAAAATGGATATATACACCATAGGGGAAAATAATCAATCGATTTTAATAACATTAATGAGAAATAATTTTCTAGATTATAATAATTATGTATAAAATTATGAAATGAGAAAATTAATGGATTATATAAATGTAATAAACATGAATTTGAACTATTCATTACATGTACATTTAAATGAATAGTAATATTATCATCATGATTATTTAGATCATCATTTGGATCATTATTTGGATCATAATGATTGACTAATAGATCATCTGATGTATAAGCAAATAAATTTAAATCTATTCGTTGATTATGAATATTTTGTAAATTGATTATGATTTTAGATGAATACCAACAACTAGACATATTCATAAATGAATTCATTATAATATTTGGTTGAAGTGATATCATCAATTGATTTGTTAAATATTTATTATGTTTTTTCTCATCAATTTCAATAGATAATTTAAAATAGATTAACCAACGATTAGTTATATTTGTTGAATTCATTAAATCAATTGGAATATTCATTAATAAAGGAGTTTGATAAATAAAAAATTTTGGTAACCAATCAATATGATTATGATTATTAATATTAAATGGTGAATAAGTCCAAGAAGTTATACTATGAGAAGAATTACTTGTTAGCAATGATGAAACATTAATTTGTTGATTATCTTTTAAAATAAATAAATTTGTAGGACAAATTCTTGATTGATTGTTACATTTATTATTTAATAGAATAAATGTTGCTTGAAAACATTGTTTTATCATCAATATATCTAAATATAAGGAATTGGTCAATTCTTTAATACTGAATTCAGGATTCTAAATTAAACAAAAGTATTAAGAAATAGATAATATGATCAGACTGTTGATGGATATATAAATGTACACTAAGCATTCATTACAGCCTACTGTGGAAGAGAACAAATCAGCTGAAGAAGAAATTAGGAAAAGACGATGGAAATGGATAGAACATACATTACACAAAATCATCAAACTACATCATGAGGCAAACCCTAACTTGGAATCCTGAAGGGAAGCGAAAAAGACAAAGGCCAAAGAACACATTACGTCGGGAAATAGAAGCAGATATGAAAAAGATGAATAACAACTGGAAAGAGCTGGGAAGGATTGCCCGGGATAAGGTTGGATGGAGAATGTTGGTGAGCGGCCTATGCTCCATCACGAGGAGTACCAGGCGTAAGTAAGTATGCATTCATTATTAATTTTTAAATGTTGATCGAGTCCTATCGATAAGATTTGTGATGTGGTCATCACCAGAGTGACTACCTACAATTGCTTAACATCTCATAATGTCGAAGTCAAGTCATTTAGACTAGTGTCAATATTACAACCTGATCAGTAGAGTATAGTCGACACTAAAGGATTAAACAAATTTCACAGGTTTAAATCATGAGTCAGTTGAAGATAGACCACCATTGAAAACCTGGAAGCACTGGACGGCAGTTTCGTCCTGGTATGGGACTCCTCAGCAGTGCGCATCCACGATCCCGCACCACGCGGGGCTCAAACCCAGGACCTACTGGCTTCGCGCGCGAGCACTTAACCACCAGACCACTGGGCCGGCATCCGACGGTGTTAATGTCTAACTTCAACCAATCCACGAAGTTGCGCCACCGTACACCGCCACCCATACCAGGACGAAACGGCCGTCCAGTGCTTCCAGGTTTTCAATGGTGGTCTAACTTCAATTGACTCATGATTTCAACCTGTGAAATTTCTAAAACTCTCCACAAAACCCATTCTGATTAAACAAATATGAGATTGACCACTACTCAATGATCAATCAATTGCACAGTTAATTATAGGTGGGTCATTGCATTAGTTGATAATTATTAACTCATATGAACTACTGACCGACACTGATAGCACCATAAAGCATAAGCATTTAGAATTTATCTACTATATATCAAATGACATTTTAAGATTGGATGTGGTAAAAATAAAGTCTCCAAGTATATTTCATGAATATTCTACATGATTACAGCCAGTTCGTTTGGGGTTTCCGAAAATATTCTGCACGTTATATTCATAGTAGAAAATGATGAATGTATTCAGTGGAGTTCTCAGAGAACAGAGATTAAACAGTTATTACTCATTGAGGAAACACAGATTACGATTACATAGTTATTAAGTGCTGAAGATGACTACGGAACAAACAAAGTATCATAAACAATCACCATATTGATAGAAGTATGTGAATGATGTATAAAATGTATCTAATGATAATAGTACTTACCGTGAATAGTGCAACTGCTTTTTCCATCTCACCCACGTAGAATATCACTGAAATATATTGAAGAATTACCACACAATGAATGAGAAGTGTACTGTCTGAGGTGAATGGAAAAAGAAAACGTTCTTGAAAGTGTTATGAAGCATGAAGTTTTATAAGCAGATAGAAGTCTAATCGAAGTTTCCTTACTGTTAATATGAACAGTATTTTATCACAAAAAGAGAACGGGCTACAAAATTAGCTTGAGTACATAAGAATAGAAGGACGGTTGAGTTGAATCAATCGCTTCACCTTGTTTTCCAGTGGAAATCCAGCTTCTCTTCAAAAATATTCACTAATGGGTCTGATACCACACGTTGTTAGGACTTTCCAGTGATTGACTACTTGAAGAGATATAAGTAGCATCTGATATCATTGTTGAAACCCTGTCTTTTCCTACTTAGACGGATACACGCTCAAGCTAGATTTCGTGATGCGAAAATATGACGTATATATAACAATAAATAGATCAAAACTAGATAAACGTGAGCACAGTTGGGGTTCTCTGGGGATTCTAGTAGCTAAATAAGTGGGTTGGACCTAGATGATCTGGATAGCTACTTGGTATTAGTCAAATCGTTTTAGGCAGAAGAGAAGTTTTTGCTTAATGGACTTATGTACAGAATAGCAGTGGATTATAGTAGCCTCCAGGTAGAAACCTTTGTACACTGAACAGGCAAGAGGAAAATACAATAAAATTACAATGCAATACTCTCCTGAGTCCATAGGAATATATCAAGCTTCCTCTTGAAGAACTCCTGAGAAATTGACTACACCACGTCAGTCACGAACTGACTGCTCGTAAACAATGGAATGCATACCTATAACTCAGTTGTCCGTGTTGTACCTCGAATTTCCAGGTTTTAGCTCGAACGTGCTTAAGTATGAAATTTAAAGGATCTAAAGCAATTAGTCCCTTTTATAAATTTCGATAGAACAATGAGAAGACGGAGTTGATCTGAAAAATGTGATGTATTAGCGCTATACATTTCGAACAATCTGGTCACACATATGCTTGTCAGGGCATTTTTATATGGAAAGTAATAAAGGTCAAACAAATAAAAGTACGATTAAAATAACTAAGGGGAGAGAAAGAATAAGAAATTGTCGCGTTATCCTAGGCCATAGAATGACTTAAGGATTAATATCAGATGGGTTTTTGTGGAGATTGTAGTAATTTCAATGGTTAAGATCATGAGTCAGTTGAAGCTAGACCACCATGGAAAACCTCGAAGCACTGGACGGCCGTTTCGTCCTATTGTGGGACTCCTCAGCAGTGCGCATCCACGACCTCGCCCCCTGCGAGATTCGAACCCAGGACCTACTGGTCTCGCGCCCGAGCACTTAACCACTAGACCACTGAGCCGGCATCCAACGGTGTTAATGTCTGACTTCAACTAATCCACGAAATTGAGCGGCACATTCACCATTGTCTTCAGAGAGTTACTATCTCACAACAGACCTGGTTGAACTCCACTGGTCACTACTAATCACTAGGATTACCAAGGTAAATTCAAGGTTACGACATATTGTTTTTGTACACATAAGGGGGTTTAAATTTACGAATAGCCAAGGCTTCAATAAACTTAAGAATTCGAACTTGACAATTTCTGTAAAATATTCTAAATGCTGTATTAATGTTAATTTTGTACCCCATCTCAATTATATGTTTTGCTATCGATGAGCTTGGTTTTCTACCTCCTACATTGATCGGATCATTTGACATACATTGATTTTGAAGCCATTTAGGCACATGTTCATTGACGCTTGATTGCATTGTTCGATTACTCCTCCCTATGTATGTGTGTCCACACAAACATGTAAATTGGTAAATACAATGGGATGTGACGTAATCATTAGTGCATTGTTTGGGTCTATTAGGAATCATGACCTTAGACTTTTCAATCACTACCAACTGAGCAGCAAAATACGTATTCTCGATGGCTGCTTTCAATCTTTGACTTAAGACTATACTGTTAGATTTGCCTCTACATGGTAGATTGATATAAACTTTTTTCTTTGGCACTGAATTAGACAGTCAGTGTATAGGAAACCAACTTGGACGTGACAATATTTAAATTTCCATAGTTTCTGTCCATTGCACTACAAGAGAGGTTTGGTTAAGTGCCTCTTTAAGAGGACTCGAAGAATATGTACCTCTGACATGGTGGAAAAAGATGAAAAGTTACTGACTGACACATTAATAGCAAATAGTTATCCACTCAAGTTTATTAATGGGTGGAAAAGTCAGTTATTGCCAAGACCTCTAATTTATTCAGTTCCGAAGAAAAAAAGGTTATATCAATCTATCATAGAGAGGCAAATCTAACAGTATAGTCTTAAGGCAGAGATTGAAAGCAGTCATCGAGAATAGTCAGTCAGCTACAACGTAGGACAGGCACATACGTGCATCGGTCCAGGTTGCCATACCTCATTAGCACAGCAAGATGAACACCGGATTCATAGGAGTGGTTAGGTTAAAGGTGGTAATATATAGGAGAAAGATTGTAATAAGGATACAGTACCAGAATATAGAATTAGTTCGTAGAAAGATATCAAGCGATTTTAATCTCTTAGTTTAAGGGAAGACAGGGAGTGCATACACCGACGCCATTGTGATCGATTCTGAGCCATGTCACCAAGAGTCTTCAACCATTAGTTACGAAAGTCACGCGGACTCCAACCAAATAGTCTGCATCTATCAACATGGCTCAGACCAGAAACTTAGTGACTTTGTGAACTGATGCCATGTTCTGGTTTGACCACCCCTAACTTTCTTCCAACCATCCCGAACACCCGTTAGCATTGCACGACGTGGTAATCGGTGTTCAGGCATACGTAACACGTGGCCCAATCATCTCAGTCGATGAAGATTCACAACCTCATCAACTGGTTTACCATCATTCCCTAATACCCTGCGTCGAACCTCATTATTACTTGCCACCCAATGATTCCAGCAGTATTTCTAAGGCATCTGTGATCACATACTAGTAGCTTACGAGTGTCTTCTACTCTTAAAGGCCATGTTTCGCTGCCGTAAAGTAAAACAGAACGGACTGCCACGCAGTATACTCGTTGTTTTATTGATGGACAGATATCTCGCCTTCGCCATAGGTGACGTAAGTTGGCAAAAGCCGAACGAGCTTTTCGAATCCGTTCTGAGATTTCGTTCAATACCAAACCATTAGGGCTGATCAGACTTCTAAGATAAGTGAAGTTGTCAACGCGTTCGACTAATTCACTCCCTATCCTTAGTTCAGGTGTTGACGCATGCCAGTCCTGAAGCAACAACTTGCATTTAGAGGGAGAGAAGCGCATTCCAAACATTCTGGCATTGTTGCTTAGTGTTACCAAAAGACTCTGCATTTTATCAGCGTCTTCACCGAACAGGACTATATCATCACCACGAACAGGTCTGAAGCCAGCTTGGTTTTCTCGTGTTTGCAGTTCGCGAGTCTTAGTTAGGCGTCTGATTATTATCGAGGCTAGTATTTCAGATACTATATTTGTTAAACTAATCCCTCTGTGGTTGTCACAAGATGATTTTGATCCTTTCTTATAAATTGGGACGATAAGTGATTGCGACCAGTCAGATGGAATAAGGTCTAACTCCCAGATCTTAGCCAAAATATTAGTCAACCTAACTGCTAAAATTGGACCACCATCCTTAAAGACTTCTGGAGCCAATCCATCTGGACGAGCTGCCCTTCCTTGTTTCAGATTAACTATAGCCTTCTCAACTTCAGCAAGAGTTGGGGGACCTACTTCAATGTTCCATTCACATTGTCTGAGAATGGACGGTAGTTGTAGAGTAGTTGGAAGCCAGTTGAACTGTTCTCTAAAATGTTCCGCCCATCGTTATAAACGTTTGGACTGGGAGCAGATGAGTGTCGTCTTTTTCCGAAATAATCTCACACTTGACTTATTAGTTCCAGTTTCTTTTATTAGTCTGTAGAGCTGTTTTGTGTTCCCTATAATCGCCGCCTTTTCCATCTCTTTTGCTTTCGTTACCCACCACTGCTCACGGTCTTTCCTTAGGCGTTTTCTTAACCTAGATCTGATTTGTTGTCGCTCTTCATTATGTTCAGAACCTGATGGGACGAGTTTGTCAGAATCCACCACTGGTTCTTTGTAACTCTGTGGTTTAAGTCTCTAATAGATGTCACTGTTTCCACAGCTGATTCTATGCCTTTCCAAGCAACATTTGGGTCAGCCTCGTCTTCAGAATTACCTAAGTGTGAACTCAGTTGTTCCTGGAACCTACTTTTGGTTTTCTCGTTACTCAACTCAGTTCTAATGGGTCTTTTTAATGTGGCCTTTTTGCGTCCAGTGAGGCGCAAGCAGATGCGTGCCCGTATTAGGGCGTGGTCGGAGTCCAAGCAGGTACTCCAGAATGAGCGACAATCTTCTACCGACCCTCTCCAACGATGACTGATGGCAATATGGTCTATTTGAGTCCATCGTTGGTTTGGTGTAGGGGGTCGCCATGTTAGACGATGTCTCTCCTTATGCTTAAAATTTGTGTTTGCTAAAAATAAGCGATTGTCTGAGCACAGTTGCAACAGACGATCACCATTATCTGTTCGCTGTGCCGGAATGCTAAAATATCCACCTAAATGCCTTTCTGTTTGGTTTAAGCTACCTATCTGAGCATTAAAGTCACCCCCTACGAGTACTATGTCTGAGCGTTTAGCTTTCTGAAGAAGTTCGAACAGCTTTCTGTAAAATTCATCCTTCACTTCATCTGAGCTGCAGTCAGTGGGAGCGTAGGCAGAAACGACAAAAAGGCAACGACGTGTGTCCCTATCCTTCCGAGTTCTTACGTAGCCGTTTAGCCGAACAACACACAGACGACTGATGACGGGGATCCACTCTAGCAGTGCTTGTTCGGCCCTCATGCTAAGTGCTATGCCTACACCTGCCAGTCCACGAGAACTGGCCATCGAGTCACCAGATACACGGAGGGTGTATCTCGTTGGCTCTCCGTTTTGCCGAGGTGAGGTCAAGTGAATAACCATACTGGAATCCTGTACGTGTGTTTCGGAGACACAGCATACATCAATGGTAAGAGACTCTAGGGTTTTAGCCAAGGAAGCCTGCTGACCGATTTGACATAGGGTTCGTACGTTGAAGGCTCCAATGTGTAGTTTGGAGCAAGGTTTCAGTAGACTTGGAACAGTGATTTGAGCATTAGAACCGTTGGCTATGGTGATACTAGAGGAGGAAGCCGAAAGAGGAAATTTAGAGTTTGAAGTTGATGTGTTAGTTCCGTACTTGTTGAGACCTTACCACCGGGGACGGATATCCGTGGGATAAGGCGAGGTGTGCATTTTTAGGGTTGACCTTTTCTAACCCCACCCCTCCTTGTGGGAAGGCAGCATCGCTGTCATGCTGGTTGTCTGAAGGAAACACCTACTGCTCTCACACCTCTGTACAGTCAGCAGTACGACTTCTCCTTCGGACCTTGGGCTTGTTGCTTTTAGTCTTACCGCTCTTCAACCGACATTTCTGACGTGGTAGGACCTTGAGGAACAGTTGTTCCAGTCAGTATAGCTCGGTTGCTTCATCACGATGGGCAAGCCCGACCACCACGTCAAGGTAGCAACAACGGTCGGGAATACGTATTTTGCTGCTCAGTTGGTAGTGATTGAAAAGTCTAAGGTCATGATTCCTAATAGACCCAAACAATGCACTAATGATTACGTCACATCCCATTGTATTTACCAATTTACATGTTTGTGTGGACACACATACATAGGGAGGAGTAATCGAACAATGCAATCAAGCGTCAATGAACATGTGCCTAAATGGCTTCAAAATCAATGTATGTCAAATGATCCGATCAATGTAGGAGGTAGAAAACCAAGCTCATCGATAGCAAAACATATAATTGAGATGGGGTACAAAATTAACATTAATACAGCATTTAGAATATTTTACAGAAATTGTCAAGTTCGAATTCTTAAGTTTATTGAAGCCTTGGCTATTCGTAAATTTAAACCCCCTTATGTGTACAAAAACAATATGTCGTAACCTTGAATTTACCTTGGTAATCCTAGTGATTAGTAGTGACCAGTGGAGTTCAACCAGGTCTGTTGTGAGATAGTAACTCTCTGAAGACAATGGTGAATGTGCCGCTCAATTTCGTGGATTAGTTGAAGTCAGACATTAACACCGTTGGATGCCGGCTCAGTGGTCTAGTGGTTAAGTGCTCGGGCGCGAGACCAGTAGGTCCTGGGTTCGAATCTCGCAGGGGGCGAGGTCGTGGATGCGCACTGCTGAGGAGTCCCACAATAGGACGAAACGGCCGTCCAGTGCTTCGAGGTTTTCCATGGTGGTCTAGCTTCAACTGACTCATGATCTTAACCATTGAAATTACTACAATCTCCACAAAAACCCATCTGATATTAATCCTTAAGTCATTCTATGGCCTAGGATAACGCGACAATTTCTTATTCTTTCTCTCCCCTTAGTTATTTTAATCGTACTTTTATTTGTTTGACCTTTATTACTTTCCATATAAAAATGCCCTGACAAGCATATGTGTGACCAGATTGTTCGAAATGTATAGCGCTAATACATCACATTTTTCAGATCAACTCCGTCTTCTCATTGTTCTATCGAAATTTTAAAGGATCATCTGGAACGTTTTAGACAATATAGTTAGTTAAACGAACATCTATGAGTTGCCTATGCCGTAGCTGATATAAATTTAGTGATTTAAAGCGTTCTTACAAAGCAAAGATGGATGGTGGCTAGCAGAGGAATCCAGAACGTGCGTTTCGTCCAATGTGGGACTCGTCAGTTGCATGCACTTGCATCCCAGAGTTCATGTTCTTTCGGGGACTAGAACCCAGTATCTTTCGCTTCAAATACCATTGTGTTATCTACTTGGTTACTGAATCTTGATAGCCACTTCATTGTGTAATGAGGTAGGTTTTAAATTCACTTAATGTTTAGGACTATAATTGATCTGTCGTTTATTGGCACATGTGCATACTGAGCGTATTGCCTCGATACTGTCTTACGTCACCAGCACCTGTTACTTGCAATTCATAGCTGAATGTGCTCTAAAATGAAGTCATCAGTTAAGTAGATTGGGTTGTGATAGATGATACCGAGTATAAACGTTTAACAACCAAATGTGGGATCACAGATAATGACTTCACAAGTTCCACTATTATAGGATTCGCAAGCAAAGGAGCGGGTATTTATATTATTGGCTATGTATAAAACGACGCCACCTCCTTTCCTACATCTATGTCTATCACTTTTTATGTAGTGGTATTCGGATAATTCTGGAGTACTGTCGAAGTGTTTAAGGGAATGTCCTGAAGTGTTAAGGACACTGGCGAAAAAGACACAAAAACTGTAAATTTTCGGGTTGTAAGGCTTCGACAGAGAATGATGCCGAAGCCAATTAAATAGGCTTCGGATCTGTTACACTAATGCCCGAAGCTTACTCAATAAGCGATCGGAACTAGGTGTACAGTCACAGAAACCTGGCTGACACAATCTATAGATAGTATGGAGCTTGATTTAGATGGCTGTACGCTAGCAAGGGCCGATAAAATACAAAAGCGTAAAGGGGGGAGTAGCTCTATTCATTAGGAATGCCATTATCGACAACGTATCCCATAAGAATGGGACGGGTGAATTAGTTAGTTGTCGCTTGAAATGCAAGGGACAAGAGCTGCTGATTCGTTTGGTCTATCGCAGACCAAGCTATGAGGTAAATGAAGTCCTGCTGATCAGTCTCAATACTTGGTCATAAAGTGGTCGATGTCTAATCCTAGGGGACTTTATTATTTATTTATTTCAACACATAGATATTTGTACAAAGAGGCACCAAATACATAAGCGCCACACAACTCTCATTCGATATGTGTGAGGGCTGTGATACTGCCCGGGTGCCCAAACCGAAGCAGGTGGTTTTCTTAGGGGGCCACACCCCGAGCCTTTGACCTGAGGGTCTGATCCACAAGGCAGTGGAGCATCGTAAGGAGATGCAGTCCCATGGAAGCCGGTGACCAACAATTGGTTCATACGCCATTTGTTCCCTCAGGATACTGGAGCCCATGTGCACCATTGATTTGGAATCCGGTTAAAGCGCCGGACATTCGCTAGGGGACTTTAATGCACCTATGATAGACTGGGAAAATCTGCGAACTGAATCGTCAGGAAATTCATTCGAGCAGGAACTAGTTGATGCGGTTATCACATGTGCTCTAGTACAACATGTGAAAGAAGCGACAAGGTACAACCCGGACACTGAATCATCCTTACTAGATCTGATACTCACTCACTATGTGGATGACGTTGCAAACCTTCATTATATGCCACTCCTAGGTAAAAGTGGTCACGCAGTTTTAACTTTCGACTTTCATATAACTGTCAATCACGAGCACGCGTTAGCTCAATCCAGACCTAACGTCTGGAAAGCAAACATACCAGATATCATGCACTCAGCATCGTTAGTAGATTGGATTATAGACTCAGAGTCCTCAATTTAAACGGCTTGGGACGCATTTCGAAATTTATACTTGAAATTTACCGCACCCCTCATCCCTTGGACTATACCAAGGGGGCCGAGAAACTCTCCACCATGGTTCAGTAGGGAGGTCCACATCCTTCTCCGTAAGAGAAGAAAAATGTGGGATATATTCGAGTT